CGCGAAGCGTTGGCGATTATTTTTGCGATGAAAAGATTTCAAGAATATCTTAACGGAAATTCACAATCATCACCGATCACAAGCCGTTGATTAATATATTTTCCAAAGGTTTAAAAGAAAATTCATCTATGTCGATGAGGTTGCAGAAGTGGAATATTTCAATGGGAGCTTACGACTTCGAAATATGACATAGAGCGGGTAAACACAACACGGTGCCAGATTGTTAGTTCAGATTGCCAATAACACCTTCAGAAGAAGAAATACACATTGTGGATGATATAAAAGAAAATAATGATTTATGGGACGTACCAATTAACTTTAAAATGATCGAAAAAAAACTTCTAACGACAGAGAATTTAATGGAAATAAGGAACGATATTAGAGACGGTGACACGATAAAAAATAAAACATATAACAATATGGTGACGGAATTATGTATTATGGGAAATTGTCTATTTTAAGAAAATAAAATCATCATACCTAAAGTTTCAAGAAAATCAATACTACAACATTTACACGAAGGACACTTGGGTGCTGGCAAAACCAAACATTTAGCTAAAGAATACTTTTGGTGGCCTGGAATTAGCAATGATATTGATAACGAAGTAAAAGAATGCAAATCATGTAACATTTGGGCCGATAATCCCATTAATACACAACATCCTTGGATGTTAACGACGAAGCCATTCGAAACAATACACATTGATTACGCTGGGCCATTTTTTAACAAGTACTGATTGCTTATAGTAGATGCGTACAGTAAGTTTCCTATAATCACGCTGGTAAAATCAATAACCTCGGAATTTACAATAAAAGAATTGATGAAAACAATTAGCTTATTTGGTATTCCAGAACAAATAGTTTCTGATAATGGCTCAAACTTTACAAGTCAACTGTTCAAAAAATTTTGTAGAGACCATGATATACATCACTTTCAGACTTCAGCTCACCGTCAACAGTCAAACGGGCAAGTTGAAAGGATGGTAAGAACATTTAAATCACATATGAAGAAGTGCATGGAACAAAATAACATGGACATAGATATCGCTTTGGAGAAATTTTTGTTCAATTACAGAAACACGCCAAACAGTATGACTGGCATCCCACCAAGAAAACTCATGTTCAATCATGATATGAGAACAAATTGGGATTTATTAAAATATAAGAAAGACGACGACAACACTTCGTTCAAGTTTTACCAAAAAATAGAACGATGAATATTGGAGAAAAAATTTGGTATATAAATTTTGGAGTAAACAAGTGGGATGAAAGCGTTATAATTAAAAAAGAAAGTAACATGTTATTTCAAATTCAAACGAAAAATAGTATATTAAGGAGGCACTTAGACCAACTTAAGAAAAGATTTACCACTAACGAAGTATTAATTCATGACCCAAATACTTTGCCAACGATTACATTTTACAAGGAGAGAAGTTTCTGAACAAGTAAAAGATTGTACAGCCGACGTTACGAGGCCTAGCCGGAATAGAACATTACCCTCACGATATCAAGATTATATTTTAAACATAAAAAATTCACGTCCAAGAAGAATTTGAGCGGAATTTGTTTCTTAAGGGGTGAAATGTTGTGATGTCCAAATTGATCGTTATCTATTAACTAATCGCTATCTATTTAATAAAAGGTTGATTTTTTTTCTTCTTTATATTAAATTAACTTTAACCTCGCGGACTCGTTTTATAAAATTAACTCAATAATTCGATATAAATTACTTGATAGATTTTGTAAACTATATAAACTTAGAAATTTATTGTACTTATCAGTGAAAATATTTTTAAAATAAATTTATTAAATAAAAGATTTTATTATCACTTTCTTAATTTTGTTCTTCTCCCTGCCAACCTTAACATGGTGGCAGCGAAATTTACAATTTTAAAATCTTTTAAATTTATTTATTTTATACAAAATAGAATTTAGATCAAATGGATAAATCAACAACGACAACAATTGTTAAACTAGATATCACACTAGACGAACTTATTAAAATTGGGCTATGATGACTCACAAAATATTCTAAATTCATATACAATATAATTTTAGCTACTGGTACATAATCAAATTGATGAAAAAGTTCTGATTTCATTCTAAAAAAAAACATGTAAGAAATAATTAATTTGAAAAAGTAAAAAAAATTTATTAAAATTTTAATTATAAAATCTCTAAAATATTTATAAAATAAACATAATGATATTATCTTTTCCGGAGTATAGCGGCAACATGCAGTCTTATATTGCTAAGGCTGAGAATTTTTTTAAAGATAGTAAGCTAACAGTAGTTGTGAGGCTATGCTAGTAACTGGATAATATCTTTAGCTTAATTAGAGCCATGTCGACAGATGAGGAGTTTGAATCTCCAGATGCTTTGCTGAAAAAGCTCAAATGGATATATAAAATTAATGATATAAATCTTATGAATAAAAATATTGATAAACATATAATTAATACTTAAATAATTTTAGTATCTAAATATAAAAATGATGAAAAAATAAATATACCCATAAGATCACATGGTGAAATTTTAAAAGAGTATTATGACTGTAAAAATAATGATATAAATCTAAGTATTGAAAAAATTAATGAAAATGAAATAGATGAAATTCCTATACACAAAAATTTAAAAAAAATAAAATCCAAATCATTAAAGCTTGACACTTACAAATATAAAAAAATCAAGAGAATAGACAATACAAATAAACATTTACCTTATATAATTAATGATAAAGTGGACGAATTTTCCAAATTTTAAATACAATGAAATCTAAATTATGTTTAAAGGACAAAACATGTGTAAGTAATAATGACTACTTTAAAACATTATTTTTATTGAAGATAAAATAAAACTGTAATTTTGAGTTATTATTTGATTTAAAAAATAAGGGAGTAAAATTTAAAAAATAAAAATAATTGAAATATGATATTAATAAAAAAAAAATTTATTATATAAAACGCTAAAATTCAAAATATTTCATGATTCTATATCCCAAATGATGTAAATTATTTTTATCCCATTATTTCTATTATTCCGAAATTATTTCATTCGAGATAAATTAATCATGATTATAATATCAAGTGATAAGTAAATACAAATAATAATAAACAACGAGATGATGGTCAAGCAAACGATTAGACAATCAGAATAACAAGCTGCAAATAAGCCAAAAGGATGAAGAAACCAAATAACTACTGAACCAAACAAACAACACATCACTATCGATTATTTTTGCAACAGCACGGATACCTCATAATTTACTAGATGACAATTTAAAGATAAACAAAGAATTAGACGAAACTGACATCGAAACATATATACGTAAGATTGTTATTATAGAAAATACACATTCTGATCTAAAACGTTTGGAGGGAGCAAGACAAGATAAGATGCCACATTTTTCAAGACAAAACTCTTACAGATTCTATGATCAAAATAGATGGAAAACTCCTTGAACACAAAAGATTTACATTTAAAGAGAACCTAGGCGGGGTTCCTGTAGAGGGTGGAAGGTTGAACATGGATTACTATTTTATTATAATGGTTATTATATAGCGCAAATTTTTATAAGTTACATTCATTTAACACCATTTATATTAACTTAACTTAATAGTTTCATTTAACTTAACTTGATAGTTTCGTTTAACTTAACTTAATATAGTTTCATTTAATTATTTAATAGTTTTGCTTATATATATAAAGGATAAAATTATTATAGTTTTTTTAGTGATATTGTAGTTAAACATTTTAAAAAATATATATTAAATAAAAAAATTTGTCTTGTCTTCCTTACTCCCTGTCAACCTTAACAATATGATACCAAAAAAGGACAATTTTTAATATCCAAAAAAGTCTATAAGAACAATTTTTTATTAATATTTACTTAAATGATTTTAAATTTTTCTAACCCGCCCGCCCATTGTTTAAATTTCTTAACCCACCCACCCGCCCATAGTTAATTTTTTTAACCCATCCGCCTGCCCGTTCTTAAAAAATTTTTTGCCTGCTCACCCGTCCGTCCACTTAGATAAGCGCAGACCTAATTAAAATATAAAAAACTTTTTATTTACGAGCTCGGATTTGTGTCGGGTTGTAAGAAGTGTCCGACCCGAAGCCAGACCCCATAAATAAATATACTAAATAATCATTTTACTTAATAATGTAAATTAAAATAACTTCATTTTTTATCTAATACATTCTCAATTTATTTACATCATATTCAAACAGGTTAATATCTATTTAATTAAATAGCCTCAAATCTTCAATATTTAAAATCATTTACCAAATCTTAAATTATTGTAAGACTTATCAAAAAGACCTTCCCAATTTATGTGTTTCGGCTCTTAAATTCCTAGCTATCCCTGCTTCCTCGGCTAGCAATCAAAGAGAGCTTTATGCGGCTGGTAAAGGGCCTTTGAATATAGGACGACTTGTTTAAAGCCTGAAAAACTCGACTCCTCATTATTTATATATCAAAATTATTCACTATGTGATATTATTAATAATGAAATTGATATATAATTATATGTTCATTATATCATGCACATTATTTTTATATAATCGCAATAATTCTTAAAAACGATTTTAGTTCAACTTTTTTAATATTTAAACTGAATAAATGTTATATGTTTCCAATTTAAATAAAACGCAACTTAATGTAAATTGATTATATTATAATTGTCAAATAAACTTTTATTTAAGGTAATACACATAATCTTATTTTATGGATATTATAATATTCACAAATTTAAAAAGATTGAGTAGGGTTCGGGTCGGGTTGAAAAAAAATTTTTGAATTCGAGTTAGGGTAAGGGTAAGACAAAAATTTGTTTTAATTCGGGCTCGGGCCACAAAGAAATCACCTTGCAGACCTCTAGTTTGTAACTCCACGTCCCCCCATACACTTTCACTTTTTTATTTGTTTTTTTTCAAATTACTGCCTAAGTGATTATAAGAGATTATGTATAATTTATATCATAATCATCATCTTAAACCTGGTAGAAATTTTCCATTAATCTTAGCATTAACTTGGTGGAGCTTAAAAGAGTTTGGGGTAAACGATATCTGATACATTCCTTTAACATTCGTACGTCCTAACGTGAAAAATATGTTATCGCATTTAAAATCCATGCTATCGCTAAGATGATATGTATGGTTTCCATCAGTAGATTGACTTTTGTTGCTCGGTTTGGAAAACTGGTTGTCTTTGGTAATTATGGATATTTCTGGATGCTGAGAATGAGGATATGATGGGGGTACGTCAACTGAGGGTATATTTTAGAGAGAGCGGAAATAAATTAATAGAAAACCAAATCCCATAAAAAATTTAATTATATAATATTCGTTCATATAACTTAAATTGTATAATTTTTGCATAAATATATTTCACAATTACCAAAAAAAGAGTAAATTTCGCCAAGATACCCTATGCGAGCTGCCATTTTACTGTCATTAACAGTATCAATGACACTTGCTACTTCTAGAGAATCAACGAAATCATGCATAGCACCACTCGTGTTATTTTTCTCAATTTGATCAAATAACTTAGGTTCATTATTAAAATCTTGTATTAGCCCGGGTTCTCCTAAATTTCGAGGCTGAGTAATGAGCGGATTTTGGCAAGCTTCAAGATTCAGGATGCGCTTGGAGAAGGAATGGTTCGAGCTGGTGAAATAGCTTTCGTGATATATTATAACGTTGTACGAACTTCCGTCAATGTGTTCTTGGAGATAAGTCGATTCTGAACCTTTACATTTTTTTAAAAAGATTAATTTAGTCAAAATATCATTTAGATAATTTATGCATCCTCCTTACTTAGCATATTATACAAAACATTTTTTATGCTCCTTTTATTAAAATTCATATTCATTGCGATAATTGATTGTTATATTTCATATCGTTAATATCATATAGGAGTAAAATAAATTCAATGTCATATTTAAAATCAATGAATCAAGAATACTCACTGAAATCGAAAATACTTTTACAAAGAAAAATTGAAGAGTGACAATATTTATTTTTAAGAAAATATATAGTTATATTATCCAACAATCAGGTTTCTGTAACACCATGATTGGTAGCAATACTAAATCTTTAATAGATATATAAAAATATTGCACATTATGAAATCTGCAGCATGCCCCTCCCACATAACAGGCCAAGAGCATGCACAGTGGATCACAAAAAAATATGAATTTACATAACCATTTAAAAAAGGTATTACATAATATTAATGTGGAATTTCACTCCCTGAACAATAGCGTCTCCTATAACATGTCATTACTCGTACGGGATTATAAATCTCCTGATTTCCACTGGTATAGGCTTACCTTGGTTTGTAACAAAGATAATAGGGAGGCTTGATCTATATATACCAGAGACCTGCAGAGGTACCATTTGTAGCCCAGCCCGGATTTTTTTAAAATATATATTATTTATTTTTGATTTTTTAACTAATAATGGCGATTTCAAATATTTGGTTTTAAAATATACGGCCGGGCCGACCCGACCCGGGTATATTTTAAAAATTAAATCCGGGCCGGGCCTGCAGGTCTCTGATAAATACTCTGGGATCTTGAAATGGGCATGGATATTAGGGGTTATTGGCATAGGTATACTCATGGATTCGGAGTGAAAATCTTTCAGTTGACGGTATATTACCACTATTTAACTGCATAACTGAGAACAATAAATGTCGATCCTGCTTGTATACTAAGTCATGGCTGCCACTAGGAATTGCATAATCGTACAATGGAATTGATATAGGAGTATTCTGTTTGATATAGTGAATATTATGTCTGGTACTGTAGGCGAAGTCGGTATTAAATTTTTTTTAGGTGTTTCCTATGTAATTCAACAGAACACATGATTGGGCAATGCACGAGCAGGTCTAGAAAAATAAAAAAAGGTTCGCAAAAAAGAATACGGCGTACTCAATTCCATTGTACAATTAAGCATTTCCTAATGGGGTCATTCCATGTCAAATCGATCAAAAAAGGTAAATTTTAGGCCGACCCCTACTAACAAGTTTATCCTTGTATTTTCAATTTTCCTCTCACTTATATTTTATTTTCTTTTAAAACAATATTTTTAATATACCTTTAAATTATATTTTATTTCTTTTAAAACAATATTTTTAATTTTTTTTTTCTTTAAAAAAATATAAAACGCAATAATGATTTTTATTTTCTCTCGCTAGCACATCTGGTTCCCGAGATATAGGGGCTCATAGGTGCAAAAAAGTGCCACTTTGGAATCTGTAAAATTTTTAAAATGCTTATATCTCAAAAACTAGCTATAGTAAAAAAAACCTCTAAAGGACTATCAAAAAACAATAAAATTTAGCGCCAAATTGAGTCTTTAACTTTCGGTTTACCTATATTGCTTTATCTGTTTTTAAAGCAAAAAGTGTAGTTTTGTTTTCTAATTTTTTTTGCTTTTTATTTAGACACCTTTTATAAATATATATATACGATGTCAAAACCTTAGCGACGCTATCGACTCTTCCGAAATATACATTTTTTACCAAAATTTGAAAAAAATAGATGGCGTTAATGGTTGAAAATATTATTCTTAAGGAAAATGAAAATATTGATATGTTTATAGGAAATGTGATATAATTTCCAGTTCTGCCCCCCCCCCCTTCCACCATCCTTAATAAGTTTTACATTTTTTAGATCTTTACTTTGATAAAATATAGCGAATGACTTATTTGCTCGATAATGTATAACAGCGGCATAACGAATATTTTAATAGGCTATTATCGATTATATTACGAGCATATTATTTTACAAAATAAACTGTTTAAAACGATCTCTCTTTCTGCATAATATTTTTAACTTGCCCGTTCAGATTAATTTTAAATAATTCAACCCGTCTGCAGTTTATTATTTTATCGTCTGTCTACCAATAACATTCGGGAGAGAGTACAAAAACATATATTCTAGGTGTAGATCAATTAAAATTTTATTCTATATCACAGATGGACGTACCAAATGTTAAAATATCAAAATGTTGCAACCCATTTAATCTACAAAGACATGCTTATTATCGCAAGAATCTAAGAAAGATTCCACCCTGGATGACCCAAAAAAATTTACCAATCAATTTAGATGTTAATATGCTCTTCATGTCGACAAAAATTAGCAAACATTCCTTATACTTCAAAAGACTGTAAATATTGATGCTAACCCTCATATAATTAATCAAGAGGCTATTAATATCATTAATATATCCCTACAATCAATAGGTGAATTTATTAAAAGAAAACGCTTATGTGAAAAGAAATATCCAATGAAAAAAATATCTAGAGTAAAAAAAGTTTAACGACTAAAATTATACCATTAAAATATCTTAATCAAATGATGAAAAATTCGATAAAATTCTAGATACCTTAAAAATCAACTTCCCACAGTTGTCGATTACAAATAAATATAGATTATTAACATTATTACCATCAAATTGGACAATAAGAAAAATTGTAAAAGAATTTAATATTTCATATCATATGGCGTTAAAATCAAAAAGTTAAATAAAAGAAAAGGGATTTTTTTCAACACCGAATCCTAATCTCGTAAAACAATAGATGCCGCCACATTTGCTATTGTAAAAACTTTTTATAATAATGATGAATATAGTAGATAGATGAGGAAAAGGGATTTTGTTTCTATATAAAATTGAAGAAAATTTTATTCAAACTCAACGGAATGGCAAATATTAAATATAACATTTTACTAGAATATGAATGCGAATTTACTATATGAAAAAATAAATGGATATATAACATGTATCTATGACAATCAATGGTGAATGACCTATATTATAGGGAAAAAAAATCAAAAAAGAAGTGTTAGTCAGTTTTTTGCATCCACAAGGACTATAAAATTCTTATACATATCCCACCTTGATTGACAAATTGTGGATATATAAATCACAAATTTTAGATGTGGTCAGTCCTTATACTGCTACCGGACGAACATATACTTTACATAAGGATGAGACAATTAAAACTATTCATCTTTTTTAATTTATTTTCTTAAAATATATAATTATTTATATCTAACTAAATTTTGTTTCAAATTTATTTAATATTTCTATATTATTAATAAAAATGAATAATAAAAAAATAATACGAAATATATTTATATTTGGAAATTTGAATGGGCATTTGCCCATACTGCCCCTCAGTTTAATTAGTATATTTAATAGAAATTAAAAATTTTTAGTATAAAAAGTGAAAATATCCTGTTATTGGTAAATTAGCAACAAAATTTTCCATAATCCGTAATTTCATAAAGCGCTATCTATTTTTATTTCAATTTTTGGTAAAAAATGTATATTTTGGAAGAGTCGATAGCGTCGTCAAGGTTTTGACATCGTATAGTGTCTAAATAAAGAGCAAAAAAATTTCGAAACTCCCTTTTTTTGCTTAAAAATACAGGTAAAGCAACCGGATGTTAAAGTCTCAAATTTGGGCTAATTTTTATTGTTTTTTGATAGTTCTTTAGAAATTTATTTTTACCTACAATATGATATATTTTTATTTTACTATAAATAGTTTTTGAGATATAAGCATTTTAAAAATTTTACAGATTCCAAAGTGGGTCTTTTTTGTACCTATGAGCCACTATATCTCGAAAACGAGGTGTGCTAGCGAGCTAAAATAAACGGCTATCTCATTTTTTAACAACCTAAATAATTCCAGAAATTTTTAACAATTTTAAAAGGGATCGGCCTAATCGTGATCGATTTGACGTGGAATGGCCCATAGCAATATGACATGGTGTACAAGCAGAATCTACCTTCGGTTATGCAGTTAAATAATGGTATTGTACCATCAACTGCGAGATTATCAATAAACTCGGATCCATGAGTCTCTCTATGTCAAGATTCCCCATTTCAAGATCTCAGAGTATCTATAAATCAAGCTTCCCTATTCTCTGTAAATCCAGACCAAGGAAACCAGTAAAAGATTCAGAATCCTGTAACACGGGTAACATGTTTTGAGCAGTGGCGTCCCTGGGGAGGGCATAGGAGCTCAAATTTGAAGAGTCGCTGAAGATTTTTTTAATACCTAAAAAGAAAATCATTCTGAAAATGTTAGCTAAAAGGTCATTTTGAATGCTAGCTAAAAAATATCATTTAGAAAATAACTTAAAAATTTTTTTTGAGCCTCCTGAGATTGGAAAAAGTAGTAACTGACACCCCTGGTAAATGTTATGTAATATAAAAATTACAAGATGGCGGATTTTGGGGATAATTATAAATAAATAAAATGGCAGACTAATAAAAAAAATTAAAATTAAAAGAATACCCCCCTTCCTATAAAAAGTTAATAATCCTTTAAAAATTATTACATTTTCACAATGGTTCTAAAAAAGAAATATCGATAATTTAAAATATTATACTGTGAGTTTCGCTTTTATTAACGTAAGGTGATTGTCTCAAAATAACGAAATGATCACCAACGATCCTTGGATAATATTCCACTGTCAGGATTGAAGAATTAGATTTACCGGTTTCCACTTTAACTGGCTTAATCTTCCAAGGAACGAGTTGCCCTGTGATGTCTTTTTTTTAAAATCATTATAATAAAAAGTTGAATGAGAATTATAAAAAATCCTACAAAGATAACTCCAAGAAAAAGTGTTTATTTTAATATATTTGCAGAAAATTATCTATTTTTTCTTCTACTTCTACTAAATATAATCTGTGCAAAATGGAATAAACTTTATAAAAATTACGAATTAAAATTTAAAAACATCATAATTGTCATTCTTTACCTTTTATGACAACCTCGAACCTCTTATCTCTCTGTCTTTTGGAATTAAAAAACTTGAGAGAATACGATGGATGCGGGTGCTCATTAATCTCATCCTCGTGTTTATCATTAAACAGCCCCTCGTTTTCGATGCCATTCGTTAAGGTTCCATTGATCGCTATTTTCCCATTGTCATACGAAGTATTGAAACTATCAACATTAACTCTATTTATAGCTATACTAGACCGACTATTCGATAGGGAAGAGGAGGAAAATAATCTACAAGTGTCCAGGTTCAAACTTTTAGCGTCAAGGTAAAAATAGGCCGGACATTTTTCTATAGGAAACGCAGATATGCCGGGTCCCCACACATTTTGCTTCCCTCTTTCGCTGTGAACGGACAAAGGACTAGCTGTTGGGGGGAGGGGGGGGGGGTAGAAATATGACGATGAAATAAATGTTCTGTTCACAGAGGCTTTTTAAAAAAATTATATATTATGCTTTACTCGGAACTACAATACCATTATACAGCAAATCGACTTGGTGAAGTCCCAAACATTGAGTAACGTAGTTTATTTCGTATCCTATTACTATTAACTCACTCGGTGATTTGAGGTTAAATGATTGGTCCAAATTTTCTGAACCCTCTTTGTATTTGGGAGTGACGGTAAGAGGAACCATCAAATTGGTACATTCTTTTTCGGTCACTTTACAATAGTTGAGGGCTGGGATAGAGTTTGAATTGATATTATTCTTCGGGTTGGAATCGAAGTTTGTCTGCGTGAGTTGCTGAGTCTTTATACATGTTTCAAGTACACCGTCCCCGGATTTAGATACGTCCACTATGATATTTAATATCAGATGAAGAGAGAGGCGGATAAGAAAAAGGTTCATGTTTTTATTGAGCAAAAATAAATAAAAGATTAGACTTAGAACCTTACAATATAGTATGAGATAATCTAATAAACAGAAGATTTAAGACTGACCGTAAAAACGATTCAATTTATTGATTTTGATCCTATCCTTGAATTTATGAATTCGCACCGCTAAGGCATCGTAACTTTTACATATGTATGGAGGATAATTCTGAGAACCAAATAATTTTACTCCCTGATATTGGATCACTATTTCATAAGAGGTTATTACTATGTTGTTGTTGAGATCAAATTCGATTATGTATGAAATACAGTCATCTTTGTGGTTGTTGATGTTTGCATGGTTATGTTTATCGGCCTCAATATTTTTGAGAGGTGATAGGTTGGCCGTGATATAATTAATGATAGAATTATGGGATTTACGATCGTTGGTATAGGGTAAGGCTTATGCATTTTTAAAAAAAAAAAATTATATTTAATTATTTATTAATTTAATAATAATATATATAGTCTATGAAGTTTATTAAAAAATTAATTTTCTTATCCCAAAACTTAACATCTAGAAAAATTTGTGCTAAATATTCATTTGTGGAGTAGGTGGGGGGATCTCATCGCAAATTTGCCTGTTCGCGTAGATATCATAAGCTATAAAAAATTCCCCTCTATATAACCCCTCCCCCCTCACCAATGTATAAATTATATCACCATAAAGAATATTTTTAAAGAAAAATTAGTAAAAAAAACTTTTAAAAATAAAGTAACGACTATAATTCAAAATTTTTAGAAAAAAAATATTTTATTAAAAATAAGTGAATATAATATTATTTTTATAAAAATATAATATAGCGAAAGGCCTACAATAATAGGACCTAAAGACCTTCAATAAAATATATGACAGAAAAATCAGACTAAAAGTATTTCTCCCAGCTCCTCATAGGAAAATCTTGGATATGCCTATGACATGAAATTATAAAAAAATATGGAATATGTTATTTTAAATTATTTTTTGGGAGGGGTATCATCTAAAAAATAATAATCTCCATAATTTATCATATATTTTGGCATTCTTTAATCGCAATAATGATTATGCCACTGAATTATATAAAATTATTATTTACGAGTCAAATAACATCTAAGATCATGTTCCACATTCAGGTAAGAAAGATAATCACGAGGTATATACAAATGCATTCTGTTCTTTCGACCGACATGTAGGTATTTGAGATTCGGGCCACTAAATACAAAAGCCTTGGGGTCTAAGATCATACATTCGAATGGACTCCCTTATAAAATAAAGCATTCCATAAATAATAAATGGCCAAATAAATATTTTATCCTTTACTCTGCTTCACCGTTAGTGCCAAATCCTGACCAGGTCTGTTATTATTTTTCCCTTCTTACTAATTCAAATTATGATAGTTGGATGGTAAGTCATATTTTCAGACCGGTCGGGTATTAGCAATCGTCATATTTCGCGAGGAGAATAATGATAAAAAAGTAAATATTAAATTTTCTTCAACATTGAGAGCTAATAATATTCCGAATAGTTGCATAGTTAAATATATTTAATTTTAAAAAAGAAGAACCTGTGATAATTTATCTTTACACCCTTAAGTAATATATTAAAGCCAAATTTGATGTATCTTACATGAATATTTTTTATTGAAAAGTTCGTTAATATAATAAATCTTTTATATCAAAGCATGTTTGAAATTTATAAAAAAATAATAATATTCTAAAACTACAGGAATGATACAGACAAATTATATTATATAAATAATGTATTTATTACCCGGGATCTGCTGACCATTGAATTTTATATCGATGTGGTGTAGTTTAGGGGCCGACGGACGGAAATAAACTTTAAATATCTTTTTGCTATTTCCATTTCTGTGATAATTCGTATTATTATTTTCGCTCGCGCTAATATTGTTATCGCTATTTCTGTACATTTCTACGCGGTTAGGTATATGATGTTCACCGCAAGAAATCAGGATTTCCAAATTTCCTATTCCAGCCTTCTTGGCGTCGACTTATTTTATTTTTACAAATTTAATATTCAAACTTAATGATGCATAAATTTTAACGCGATTTTTTGAATGATTTTATTTTTTTAAAAAATGCAATGTTTGAAATCTCTTAAAGCTGGTTTATAAGGTCTTATTTTAACCAAATCTCTATTACATCTTCAAAATATAAATGAAGCATTATTAAAGGTACTTAAAAAAGATATTTCGTTTGCTTCTTCCTTCCCGTCCTCGTATTTCATAACGGCAGCCCGTTTCAGATCACGCACCAATATTTTGTTCGAATCGAAGACGCGAAGGCTTAGTGGGCTCCCATTGATATCAGTATTGTTTCGCTTGACGTGTATCAGAGTTTCACCTTTAATAAATAATTGTTTGAAAGTAATTAAGAAAAAGGTTTCTTTTTTAAAATTTATTGGAAATAGCTTTTAAGTGTGTACATATATATATATATACCTTATAATTTAGTTATTGATATGAACCACCATTAATTTTGTGTAAACTATTTCAGGTAATATAATATTTTTCGACATTTATAGAATAAAATTTTAATACCTTGTATTTGGTACAAGCTTATTATGGAACATATGTTTAGAGGTTGATGTCAAGAAGTGATAAATCAACCATTCAATTTTTTTAAAATTTGGTAAGCAATTAAAGATGTAACTAAGAAATATCCTCCAATCATTTATATTTTTGGAGATATTAGGGTTCAAAGTGGCAAAAATGGCATATTTTTATTATTATCTGCCTTCATTCAATTTAACATCACTTGAAAACTATATAAGTGTAAATAACAAAAATATCAAAATGACGTAGAGATTATACTTTTCGATAAAAAAAAATCTTTTTTTGATTTTTGTAATTTCCGGCCATTTTATTTAATATATAAGAATTAAAAACAATTTTTTTTAAATAATACCACCTTCCATTTTTTTTAAATTTAGGAGACATTAATAAATTCCTCTTTTATATTTATTAAAAAAATTCATTCTCAAAATCGATAAAAAAAATGATTAGAAATCTATATTTTCCCAAAAGGGGATGTATTTGTATAAAATTACAAATTAAACCGTTTTTAATGGATTTTCTTAACGTATTTGATATAATTTAAAGGATTATTCATCTTGAAAGTGGAAATAAAAATCAGCGGGGGTTTCAATCATCATAAGAAATTCTCAATCAATAAAATAAATTCCATTTATTACACTCATTTAATGAATCTTAATAAAATATATGTTCAATTAAGTTTAGAATTCTTAAATCAGAATTTTGAGTATTTCATATAAACCTGGTTCCCTACAAAGCCCCAAAGGTGAGAAAAATTACGAGTTTCGCAATGTAAAATTTTTAAATTGCTAATATCTTAATAACTATTTATGGTTAAAAATAATATAAATATATTATTTTATAGGCAAAAAATCTCTAAAGATCTATCGAAAAAATTGGCGCCAATTGGAATCTCTAGCGTCCGGTTTACGTTTACACGTGTTTGCAATCAGTTTTTTAAAAAAAATTTTGCCTTTTATTTTAGACATTTTTATAAATATCAAAGACCTGCAGGCCCGGCCCTGGTTCACAGGCCGGGCCGAATTTAAAATTTTTTAATTATACCCAGGGCCGGGCCTAAAAATTTCTTTAAAAAAATACCCGGGCCCGACCTTATATTTAAAACCAAATATTTTAAATCGCTATTATTAGCTACAAAAATTAAAAATAAATATAATATATTTTTAAAAAATCCGGGCATAAAAATTTGTTAAAATCCGGGCTGCCTGAAAATATAAAACCCAAGCTGGGCCAACAAAAATTTTAGAAAAAAAAATCCGGGCCAGGCCGAAAATTTGACGATTAAAACTATTCATACTTTCGAATTTGTTTGCTTAAATATTTAATTATCTATATTTTAAATAGAAACCGAATCGTAACCGACCCAATTACTAATTACTGTTAATCATTGAAAAATCTTCATTTTTGTTTTATACGCGTATATCTTGTGTTAAGCATTATCCTAAAAAATATTTTGATTTGACCGATTGCTGAGCTCAAAACCGACCACTTACTAAATATTCGATTGACCAAATTTGCTAGTAATATTAATTGAAAAATGTTCATTCTTGTTTTTATATCTCTATAAATGTGTAAAACATTATTCCAAAAAATATTTTAAAAATATCGTGATTTGACCGATAACCGACCCAATGACTAAATACTGCATTGCTGGCGTTAACCATGGAGAAATCTTCATTTTTGTTTCGAGTATATTTACGTAAAGCATTATCCTAAAAAATATTTTAATGATTTGACCGATAACCGAGTCGTAACCAACCCAATGATTAAATACTGCATTGCTGTCATTATCCATGGAAATATCTTCATTATTGTTTTATACGAGTATATTTACGTGTTAAGAATTATAAAAAATATTTTGATTTGACCGAGGACTCATAACCAACATAGTAAACAATAATATTTTTAAAATTTATTTTGTAATAATGTATTACACTTAATTATGGAGATATATAAAAAAAATGACCATTTTTCAATTTTATACTACTAGCAAATTTCAATCGAATATTTAGTAAGTGGTCGGTTTTGAGCTCGGCAATCGATCAAAATATTTTTTAGGATAATGCTAACACGTAATAAAAACTATTTTAATTTTTATCTTTTAACAGCAAACTACTTAATGAACTATAATAGTTGAATACAGAATATTATATTTAAAAAAAAGTGTTAATAAAAAAAATAAATCATCTATTATTTAAATTAAGGAGGTTAAATTTTGGCAATTTCTTAGTTACATTAACCCTTCTTTGCATATCAAATTTTCAAAAAATCGAAGGGTGTCTGTCGGACGAAAATCTCACTTGACTAGAAATAACCCAGTAGGTGTTTTTTTTTGTTAAATGTAAAAGTGAAAAAGGTTTGATTTGTAAATTGGGTATCTAAAGATGAGCGTAAAAAAAAGAATACAATTATTAAAACTATCAGGAATAGAATGCAAATATCAAGAATATAAAAAAATTGCAAGAAAGAATCGGACGAAAAATAATATTAAATTAATTAAGGTGTTAAGAACTTTGACCATTAAGTCATGATAGTGGTGGGTTCTAATATAATCCGGATTAATATAATCAACCTGGTTTTTTTTAAACCAGATCAATTATTTAACAGCAAATATCATGCAAAATATAAAGGAAAATTTGTAAATTTATACTACCTATAAGCTGTGGAACGTATTCTATATCTAATCCAAAATTAGAATTAGGGGATATTTGGAATTTAGAACCATGTTCGTCTGTAATATATGCAATTAAGAAATTTTTATAGAATATCGATTAAGATTCTTAAATTACAATGCTTAAAAATGTCTATATAAATAATAAAATACATCAAATTAAGAAATTACCATATACATCAACATCCTTAGCTTCTAATTTGACAGGGCCGTATATTTGAAATTTGAAAGCCTGGCCTTGTTTAATAATATCTTTAATAATACCGGGAAATATCATCATATCGTCAGCTGAAAGCGCTTGATACTGGTTAAGGTTCTCAGTGACAAAAATATGGCAAGTACGGTTTAAAGTTCGACCTATAAAAAAGTTTTATTTAGAGATTGAATAATATCCTAGAATGAATTAACTAATTTATCAAATCCAGATTTAGATCTACATCTTATTGGTTTAATGGCAGTTTTCTAGTCTTATCCGAGTAAGCCAAGATTCAAGAATATTATATATATAGTTTCTATAAATCTCAACCGGAAAAGTGCACTCAATTTTAATGTTAAGAATCAGATATAATTTTTTTAAATGGCAATTTTATTCAATTACACAAATTTTAGTATTTATTGAATAGGATTTTGAAAAATCTATCGTCTCCTAAATAAAATTTACTTGTTTCTATATTTTTATAGGAAATTTAATTAACCTCCCTATCCGTAATAGAATAAAATGTTTTATAAATGCTTTTAAAATAAGGGGGAGGGGTGGGGGGTTGAGGTCTCACCCTTTTTTTAAAAAAAGATCAAATGATTAATTAATTATTATGGAATTCTTATATTATCCAAGTCCCAATTTGTATTTTGTAGCAAAGTCTTTTCTACTAACTAATTTTTATATTACCCCCACCCCGGCCGGCACCCATGATTAGTATATTATATAACCTATGTTATATTGATAATACAATTTATATAATTAAGTATAATACAGTAAACTATAATGAAGGGATCTTTTATAAATAATTACTTCAATCAGGTCAGCATTGTTATTTTTTAAAAAATAAACATAATTAAATATGATAATGCGTAGTGTCGCAAATTCAGCCTAAAATCTCGCGTCACAATTCTGGCTAAAGTTTAAAATAGGCTCAGGCTCAAATTTGAGGTGGAAATAATGGCCTACCCACGCTATTATTTGGACTAGTTTCAACGCAAACCGTTTTTGAGTAGGCTCGTGTTAGGTGTTGAATAACAAAATTTACGGTTAAATATTATGATTTAAACCTATTACCTATTTAATATTGGCGAAAAGTAGACATTTTACCTAACCTATCGATATGTCCCAAAAGTTTAATTGCAATTAGGAAATTTAATTTTTAAGAAATCCGTGAATTGGTGAATCTTACTGGAGTCTATTTATTTCAATTAAAACTCGACAAGGCCATTTTGAAGACGGCTCAAGTGAAGCGATGCAACATTAGTGAGTAACATGAATACATATAATTATAGCATTGTGCTAGCTCATTTTTTTTTGTTTTTTATTAACAACCAAATATGAAATGAACATTATATTTAGGGCTATCTTTATGTTTAGGTAAGTTATAATGCCTTACTGTCAATATATATTTTAGAGTTAGAGCTGTAAACATATTCTGATCAAGTAATAGTAAATAAAAATTAGTTGGATTACCATTGATTTTCGTTTTCAGGGAAAATATATGTGGACCAGGATAAAGTGGAACACAAGTAACAAGCACATTCTTCTTACCATCAGTGTTTTCAAAGACCTCAGGGTGACTAATGGTTAAATTTTTAACGTTTTTATCTACTTCGATTTCTAGTAAATCTTTTATATTCGTGGTTTTGGAATCGATATTAGGTGCTTCCACTAATTTGATTTATAATAATATAAAATTGTATTTTTTTTGTGAAATAAAATATGAATGGTAAATTTATAAATTCTTAGCAATATATAAAAATTATCAGTAACATTCCTAGAAGGCTGTCTAAAATACTATAAAATTACTTAAAAATTTAAGATTAGAATTAATGGTTCCTTTAATGTTATCGCAATGAGTAGTTTTCGTTTTGAATAATTCTTCTTCGATAGATTTTCTATCAATTAATTCTTGAATTGGTGTATCATCTATATAAATCGGTTCAGCGCCATCTAATTTTGGAAGTTCTTTTGTAGCTATTAAGTAAAAAAAACAATTCATTAAATTTTAACAAATTTTTATTGTATATAATTTCTAATTTCCAACATATACTTATTGGCTTAATTCTTTCAAAATTCATAGTAGTGGTATAGTATTATACAATATTAAAAAATCACAGCATTTACCACTCCATACAAGGTCTAGTATGGGTCTTTAGGGGGGGGGGTGAAGGATGCAATGTTTTTAACAAGATTTATTCTATAATTCCAAACTTTTTAAAATATAAATGATCTAGGTCGATGTTAAATTACAATGTACAATATCACCCTCCTCTAGGTTCGATACAAATCATCTGTTTGATAACAGACTAGGAAGCCACATAGCTGAAGGTCATTCCCATTCGCAGCAGCCACAATTGAAAATTGATGTAGATTTACGATTAGGAGGTGACATTATCCACCACATAATTGTATAGATGACAACACATGAACATAATTGCTAACATAAATCAAGGCCGACATAAAAGTCATAAATCGAGTCGGAGCCGAAAAGCAGCGTAACAATCATTGAACCTACCAATCAATCATCACCTGACGTATTGACTACAATACATAGGGAGTCAGGCTTATTCGGGGCTCAACTTGTGTTTCCTCATACCCATCAGATAAAAATTCAAACATCACTTACAGCCGAAACAATGAATAATAAAATATTTAAAATAGCCTTATGTTCCCTCAAAATGTTCTTCATACAAATGGACATTTTTCCCCGCAAACTTATAAATTTTTAAAACTTATATATAACAAAATCAAGTCGTTTTCAAATGAACCTATTGAATTTTTCTATCTTCAACTAAAAATGCATAGAAACCTTTAAATATAATTATGGCTCTTTTGTGGGAAACTAATTAGAAAATAGTTGTATCTGATATTTTATTTGTTTGTAATAACATTTTTATCAATTGCCTTAATATTAATAAAGTGTAATATTCCAAATGAAGATTTAAACCGACCCTCTTCGATTTTTTAAACATTTGTATGATGATAGTAATGGAAAACTGATAACTATTATTTCGGGGAAGTTATTTCCTTATCAAATAATTTTAAAACCAATATCCCTTGAGATTTGAAATTTAAACCAGAAATGCATTTTAATAAGATACTTAAAAGTTAAATTGTTCTAAAATAATTTTATATGCTCATGAAAATTTTTTAATGCGAATTTTGAAGTTAAACACTTTGAGTAACTTTTAAATTTTTTACACTTTGCTAATAAATTTTTTTATAAGTTACTCAGACTAAATATCAACTTGAGATAGTTAAACTAATCTCAATTTTATCATGAATAAAAATAATGGCAATCACACTATAAACAATAATTTTAGAAAAATAAGTAAGAGTTAATAATTTTTTTAAATATAATGACTATAATTAAAAAATTTAAGAAAAAAACAACATTTATAAAAAAAATTATAAACCAAAATTACTTTGTAGTGGACCTAAAGAAGACCTCTAATAAAATTTATGGCGAAAATCCAATATAATAGTGCCCCCCTGCCCATTAAAATACTGGCTACATCAGTGTTGGAAACAGTAAATTTTAATATTATTTTTATCATAATAATTTTTGATATTTATAGAATATTGCAAGGCTTTGGTCCGAACCTAGACTTAAGTTCAAGGTTTTTCTCATCTAATTTGAAATATCTTGTTTTTTTCGAAAAATTCTATATGGTAAAAATTTCATTTATTTAAGTCATGAGAAAAATGTTGAATTTAAAATTGATTTTTTCATATTAATTAATATGTTATTTAATTACGCTTAATATGATCGATGATAGATATTGAATCTGTATTGTTGAGGGCTTCAAACGAGTTTTTAATACTTTCTAATGGATTTAAATACAATCCTGAATCATTCGCTGGATTTAAAAATTTAGCGATAAATGGGCTACCTGAAATATTAAAAAAATTATATTTAGCATTCAATTTTTTTCTTAAGTTTATCATATATATTTATAAACTTAAATAAAACTTAATTTTTTTTTCTTTCCTTCCTTCCTTTCTACCTTTGGCATTAGATTTAATTTCTAATTAATATTTAATTTAGATTATTTTATACTACAAACGGTTAACCTAAAAAGAGAGAAAAATTATAATATTTTTTTATAAAAACAAGAAGTTGAAAAAATTTGTTACCGCATATAGCTTCGTTATTCACAGACACATGCACCAAATAATTAGGGGCTTCTGTTTCGGGAACGAAAGTTACCTTGAAGAATTAAAGATTGCAATATAATTTATTTAAAAAGTTACAAATATTTATCATTTTACATTTAGTAAATATATAAGTCACTATATGTTTTGTGTAATCCCAGAGGAATTCAAATTACGGTTTAATTTTAATTAAAGAGGCAACATTAACTCCTTTTTTATTTTTTAGAATTTTTCTTATATTTGTTTGAGCCGAGCTAAGCTTAATTTTTTTAGGTTCGGGTCGACCCAATTTTTAATTTTTTTTGGCCCGAGCCAGATTATGGAGTGATAAAGGTGGGAAAAGAAAAAGTGAGTATTAATCATTTTAAAATGTCCTATCTCAATTATATATTTTATGGCTAGGTTTATGACACTAATTAGTAACAAAACAAAAATATAGAAAGCTCCGAGATGCTGATCGACCTCATCTTCCCTCAAGAAGGTTCAAAAAATAAATCTAAAAAATTATACCTTGAATTTGTGTATAGCAGATTCACTGTAATCGATTTCGTGGGAGATAGGGGCCTCATCGTTGATATGAGGATTTATTATATTTATATCGATCGATTTGCAACCGCCAGCTTTGAAACAATCCACTGATATTAAATATATTAAATTTTTTATTAATATTTAGCAACGAATAAAATCAGTGATTTCGATATAAATAATATTTTGCAAGAATCACTATTTATAAAAGTTATAATTAGTTGAGCCAATAAATTAATAAGTTAGTGAATTGATTTGTATTTGAATTATATATATATATATACTCTTTAAAAAATTATTATTACATTCGGCGTGATTGTAAAATGTGGGCAAATTTTTATAACCTTTTACATAATTATTATTTTAATCTGAAAAAAAAATCAAAATTTATATTTCTTCCATATGCTATGTTGCGGAATTAATTTTTATTTTTTAAACTGATTATTGTTGTATTATAAATAAAATTATACAAATATGACAGATAATAACAATATGGTAGACCTTTAAAAAATATCGGAAACTTTTCTTTTAGTAAATAATAAGCAAAGGCAAAGCAACCCATTTAAAATGAAGTACTATTATATTATAAATATAATTGTAATTTTAGGAAATAGGAAATAGGAGTATTACAATACAACATAAAAAGAAATAATTTAACACACACAAGATATGTAAGTAAAGTAATGTTTACTTTAAAATGCATCATAATTATAATAATCGAAATGAAAGGTATTTTAATAAATAAATTATAATAAAAGACTTTTCGCCGACTTAAAAAAAATTTCTTTTTACTTTTATAATAATCGTTAAATTATTACATGTAATCAGGTAGGACCTCACAAATCTCTGTTTTTTATAAAAATTTTCATAGACCTGATCGGGCATTAAAATTTTAATATATTTCTTTGAATTTCAAGCGAATATTATACATTTTTATAAAATATGGGATATAAATTGATTGAAAAGGATTTAAGCAATGCAATTTTAAACTTAACCCAATGCTTCGCAGCTATGTCAAATTACGTTTAAAACACGATACCACACAGAAAATCATACCGCCAAGGCGTATACCATATTCTAGAGTTGATTTGATAACAAAAGAACTTCAAACGTGGATAAACGATAAAATTATTGAACCTGTTGAATATGTTAGATGGGCTAGTCCTCTCACTCCCGTTTATAAGAGCGATGGCTCACTTAGGCTCTGTGCCGACTTCAAAAATACTATCAACCCTACTTTACAAGATTTCAAGTACCCTATACCACGTATAAATGATTTAGTTGCAAAATTATCTAAAGGCAAAAAATTTAACAAGATAGATTTTAAAAACGCGTTTCTCCAAATACCCATACACAAGGAATCAAGAGATTTTCTTACGATATCGTCACATAAGGGTTATTATAGGTTTACGAGACTGCCGTTTGGTTTAAAAATTTCGTCAGAAATATTCCAACAAACTATGGATAACATTTTCGGAGATTTAAAAGATGTTATATTTTACATTGACGACTTGTTAATTACAGGTGATAACGATGAGATACATTTGGAGAACATTAAAAAAGTATTCGAAAAGATCATCAAGTATGGATTAACCCCCAATTTCGACAAAAGTTTATTCCTGCAAGATAAAATACGCTTTTTGGGACATGATATAGACAAACATGTTATACATCCCAACGATGATAAGATAAAAGCTATTTCTAACATGCCGGAACCGAAGACAAAAGATGAATTGACATCTTTTTTGGGGATGGCGAGCTATTATCGAAAATATTTATGTAATTTTGCGGACATAGCTGATCCTTTATACAAAATGGTTAATAAAGACAAATGGTTATGGGATAATACACATCAAGAAAGCTTCGATGACCTAAAAAATCTGATAAGTACTTTGCCTACGTTAAATTTTATAATCCGGATCTACCAATAGGCATTGCAACTGATGCTTCAAATAAAGGTCTAGGTGCAGTCTTATTTCATATTGAAGGTGATGGTAAAGAGAAACCCATTGCTTTCGCGTCAAGAGCTTTATTAAAATCAGAGTTTGATTACACTAATATAGAGAGGGAAGCTTTATCTGTTATATACGCGGTAAAAAAGTTTCAAGAATATTTTATTGGTACGGGATTTACAATAATCACAGATCACAAGCCACTTGTTTATATATTTACGAAGGGACTTAAGGATAATTCATCCATATCAATGCGACTTCAAAAATGGAGTTTGGCTATGGAAGCTTATGACTTTACGATAATTCATAGACCCGGGAAACAAATGTAAGTACCGGATTGTTTGTAAAGATTACCCCAAATGAACACAGAAGAAATGATACAAGAGATAGATGATAAAAAAATTGATGACATGATCGCTTGCCACTATCAAGATGAAATGTAGAGATTACAGTTTTGGCAAAGAGTAATCTAATATAATATATTCCTCGCCATTATATAAATAAAAATGAAATTTTATTATCCCAAAAAGTACAAAAATTGGAAAAAATGAATATAGAAATTTTAAATAAACGCATACTTTAAATTAAATAGCATTTAAAATATAGATTTTATTTTTCTAACTTAAACAAATATTTATGACCTCAAAAATAAAACCTAAAATTTTGTTTAAAAAAACGCTATATTAAAACTAAATTAAGTAACGTTTTTTCTTTCTTTTCTAAAGAATCAGATCAGCTTTAAATTAATTCTAAATTTAGAAATTAACAAGTATAACATGAGACATGAATGGAACCTTCAAAGGTGCAAGGTTGATTCAATGTCATAAAGAGAGAATCGGGATTATTGTTATTTAAAAAATCTCCTAAGATTGGTTTGAATTTGACCTTTTGAACATCAAAAACGTTGAAAGTAAAATCTAGCACACATAGAGAATTAGATTCCTGGCTTGATTCTCCGATTGGTTTATCCTAAAAAATCAAAATTAAAAAAAAAAGAATTTAATCGTGAATATAAAACAACTTGTGTTCAAGATGATTGTTTTCTTTCCAATAGACAATTTTAGTTAAAAAAAATAGTGGTAAACTAATTTTTATTGAAGTTAAAACCCCGGGTAAGATAATATTTTTTGATTTTAGGTGGGTGAGTAATTCGAAATTTTCAATGTTAGGGAGCATAAGGGCGGTGAGACAGTCAGGGTAATCCCTACAGTTAAAACTAAAAGTATTAACAAGGGAAAATTGATTTCATTAAAAGATTTACTCCTAGTTATATACAAATATGATAAAAAATCCTATATATATTATTAGCCCGTCGTTCAGGCCATTATTAGAATCACTTTCAGCTTTAGGGGCAATAGCAACTTTATAAAGTCTCTAAAAGATTAGGATTTTATTTTATTTATTATCTCAGAAGTTATGTTCTTTGTGTCGTTCTTTTGGGCTTTTTTCACTTAAGACTCTCCCCTGACTCAGAAATTGGTATAATTGACCTCCATTGGGGGTAATACCGATTCCTTTTTTTGAGACCCCCCTTTTAAATACTATTATTTTTATACCCCGAATTAATAACAGAATAAAGACGCAGCAGAGATAGATGTTTTTAAGCATTCCCATATCATGAATTTAAATGGAATTACAAAAATCAAGTTTTAAAAATAGTTCTTTTTAAACCTCATAATTAGGCCCTGCATCATAATTCCTAGCTTCAACAGTTACGGTATGAGCACCTAGTTCGCAAGGAACGAAATCCACAGAATAAATAACGGCATTTAATTCGTTTGGATCGTTGGTTATTACACTATCACAGCCCAGTTTAGTATCCTGATGGTTCCAAATTTCACCATTATTACCGAGCGAGTCCTTTTTCATCAATAAAGCAGATAAAGATAAATCTCGGATCATGCCCTTAGCTGTTATCTTGTATATAACAGGGACCCTCTTGAATTTCGAATCTATGGAACATTTAAATGGTTTCCAAGACGTGTCATAATGTTCGCCAGTTATCATATCTATATTTTTGGTCAGCGCATCACCATTTTTAAAAAATTTGTCGTAATGAGCCAGTATCTTAAAATTGGTTGGTCGGAAAGCTTGAACCCAGAAAATCTTAGTGGATAGATCGCCTCCGGGATAGAGTTGAAGAGAATCAATGAAGGGCTCTCGATTTAGTTCTCTCAGCTTGGCTATTTTGGACGAAATCGACTCCAAGTCTAAGAAAAATGTTTGAGTTAAATGGGACGTTTCAAGGCCCCAATATAGAAAAGAGAGAAATAGGGTTAAAGTTTTTCCTGGAGTAGGATTATTTGAATTTTGAGTTTTCGGTTTCTGATCAAAATTATCTGGTTTGTAAAACGTTTTAAGAGAAATTGTGATGATTGATGATTGTTTACGACCAAAAAAAGACTCAATTATAGGTGGTTGATATGTAACGCAGGTAGATATGTAAAAATCTTTTAGATCGGTGATATATAACTGTTTTTGGATTTATAATAGATATTTTTTTTAAAGAATAAATAATAAATATACCTTTTCTTCCGTATTCAAGTTTGATAAATATTGAACATTACTTCCTTGTAAATTGTCATCTTCAAGGTGTAAAAATATGGGGCCTAAACCACCACATTCAGAACTATCAACTTTTAATATTCAAACATAATAATTTTTTTTAAAGAAATTTGTCCGATAATGATAAATGGTGCTCACCAATATAATTTATGAGTATAAACTAGGGCTGTCAGAAATATATTTTTTTCACCTAACAAATCCGATATTGAAAATATTTTATAAAGATCGATCCAATACCAATTTGATATTTTAATTAAAAATCAGAATATTCCCTTACTAACTTCTATTTATAAAATATATATTCCAAAGCGTTAATAAATATTAATAGAATGAAAAATAAAAAAAACAATGAATGATTGTTAGTATTACCCTTTCTTAAAAGATAAAAAAAAACTGTTTTTTTCGGGGAGAAAACGTTGTTTATCTGTTTTTTGAAAAATTTTTTTTATTACTACTATAATCATTATAGAAAATATAATCCATCAATACTTCATGGTAAATTTTCTATCACACTTATTTTTATAATAAAAAAATTAAAACCTCTCATTTTCTGCCACCGAAAAGGCAGAAGTCCTTAAAAAGAACAAATATGCTAGCCTCATCAACATAGTGTTCATACCAATCGTTACCAATACCTAGGCATGTTTGGAAGTGAGGCCCTCACTCAATTTCATTAAAACCACAGGAAAAAAATAAGACAAATCACAGGGGACCCCAGCGAAGGATTTTACTTTCGTCACGAAATCTATCGGTTCAATTTTTTAAGTATATACTCTTCTCTAGGGTAATATGTACCTTTTTTAAGTTCTTTTTAATGTTTTTCTATATATAATTTTTAATATATTCTTATTTGTTTTTTTTAATATATTTTATGCTTTCTTAAAAATAAAAAATTTACTTCCAAAAATTTTTAAAATTAAATTAAGTATTTCAAAATTTCGCTTAGAATAATTATAATAAGCAAGTTTTTTTGTTCTATTATCCCGCCCGCCGATCAAAAACAAATTTAAATTATATCAATTAATCAGATGGTAGAAAATATAATGGAGCGTTTACTATTCATTTACGCTGCGTTTATAGTAAACGCTTTATCTTCAAGCGTTGCGTTACAGCTGTTTTAGTTTCAAACTAATTTAAGATAAAGCCAAAATAGAGATAATTATTTTATATATTAAGAAAATTATATACCTTCTTATCGAATTCGTTATTATTTTTATAATCGTTTCGCATATTTCAACGTATCGCAATATATGTTTTTCAAATTTTATCATAACATTATCATCATAACGCTTCATATTTATAAATTTATACCTATTTACTGGCTTAACGCTATGTTATATAACGCAAACCGTGAACATAAGCGTTTACTATAAATGAGACCTTACTCTCCAATTTTTTATTACCCTTCGAAACTCTGCAAAATTATTCAAAATAACAAAATTTAAGATTCCAAGCTGGGCCAAAAAATGATTGAAAATAAAAATTTGGATTGGGCCAAAAATGGAATTTTTTTTCGACGGACCGGGTCTAAAATTTGACTTTTGCAAAAAAATATAATGAAAATAAACAAAAATTTTATAAAAATGGGTATACTATTTTCTCGAAAATGACTAATATCGGTGTATATCCGATTCAGATATATCGGACAGCCTTAATATCAAAACTATATTTTAAATTATATAAGGACTATTTTATGAATGCCGAATTTTAGTTTTTCAATTAAGATCTCTAATCATCACATTTATACTTACTTAAACATTTTCTTTCTTTCCTTCTTTCTTTTTCCCTTTCTTCTTTTCCTTTCTTTTCTTTTCTTTTCTTTCTTCCTTTCTTTCTTTCTTTTTTTCTTTCTATAAGATTAGAGTGTTAAATATAAATAAATAAAGAATAAAAATTAATAAATTTCTCATACTTTTTAAAAAGAGCTAAAAGAATAATCGATATAAAATAAGTTCAAGAAAATAATCGATATATAATAATTTATTATAGGATATAAGTTATGTTCATAATTTATCAAAAATGCAATTTTAGCCTATGTCCTAGTGAACGAAATTTTCGCTAAAGTATTAGAACAATATAAATAACTAGGAAGTGATAAATAGTATTGTTAAACGGCTCGATTTTAGCTTATTTTTAAATACGGGTAACACAATAATTTAGCCAGAAAAATATTGACTAAGTCTAGAGATTTAGCTAATAGATGTCCAAATCTTTATGCCACCTCTGAGCAAAATGTTCAGGTTTGTGTATTATTTTTATGGATAAAATATTGAGTTAGCCGTTTTTTAAATCGGCACAAATCGAGTCGTTTAACAACACTAGTGGAGAAAGATTCATCGCAAATAATATTATATACTATATTATTTTGAGATTTATAGCAATTTTTTGTATGAAATTTTATTAATTTTTGAAAATATAAAAATTCGATATTTTAATTTTATTTTGTAAAAAATTAAATTACCATTTGCCATATTTTCATGGCAAAATAATTGCTGCGAAAAAATGGCAATTAAAATAGCTCGCTAGGACATAGCCTTAAAGTAATAAAAAATATACTGGACAAATGATATTCCCTTAAATCTGATATAAGGACTTTTTTCAATTGATTTTCAGTTATTTTCATGGCATTGATATCGACGCATTGAACGAGTAATATTGTCAGTGGTATTTCATCAATACACATGGTTAATACGTATTTCGATGCTATTTTGGGTTTGAAAGTTATCTGATATGTGGTATTTTTTTTTGAAATAATTTATTAGCAAATTATGAAAAAACATTTTTTTAGGATAGACTCAGGCCCTGGATTTGGTTATATAAAATAAGGATTTTAAAGTCCGTACAAAGTATGCAACCAGGGCCATAACTAGAAGCCGTTTGGCCCATAAAATTTGCATATAAAGAGGGGTATGGTGGTATTAGAAATGAATGGATTTAGTGAAAGAGAATATATGATAATGTTATGACACTAGGCAAAAGATGGAAAATATTGTGTTAAAGAGGAATTTTTATTACCATTCTTAAATAGACAGTTAAATATTGATATACATAGAATGAAAATTATTTTATATTTAAAAACTCATATATACTATATATATTTTATTTTTAATAAACCTTTATTCTGTTTTCTTGAGCTAAAAATTTAGTTTTTAAGCCATCTTTTATGCAAAGGTCTTTTAAATCGGACTCTTTCCGACAAATATTGTTTATATTGTTATCATTACTTGGTATTTCCGGCAAAGGCTGTAATTCAAAAGTGATACCAAAAAAATTTAAGTAGGGCATTTTGACGGTATCTAAATGACAACTTTGATCTAATTTTATGAATAGTAGATAAGGAGGAATAAGGTTATTCTTGAGATTATTATCAATATTAGGACAAGAGTACTGAGATAGGGATTGATTGGTGAAGATTGTTGATGGATCGATTAGATTTAATATTTGTTTTTCATTGTTGTTGGTTGCGCAAAAATGAGGTAAATGATTGAATTCCAATTGCCTGAACGGAAAAATATAGATTTTCTGCCAAAAATTTGCTAGATTTATTTTTAATTTTTAAAAATGGTAATGAAAACATGGAAAATTTTCTAGTAAAAGATACGTATTATACAATAAAATAATATTATTTTATCAAATATCTAGCGTGTTAATTTTAAATTAAACCAGTCAGGATAATAATTCCGCGAATAAAATAAAAACTTCTTTTAAACTGAATATAATTATTTTCAAGAAGTACAATTTATATAACCTTTCACGGCTTTGCCCTTAACCAAGAACTTCAAATCGTAAAATCCCTCCCCTAAAGGTAAGAATTTGAATTGATAAAGATGAGAATAATCGGTTAAAATTTTGATGACTTTGACCTCTTTTTTGAGGATATGATTAAAAGCGTCGCTATAGTTGATAATAAATTCCATCGAATTTATGTCCAACTCTCTCAGATCATCACCTCTTTTAAAACGAGCTAGATATAAAAATAAATAAAAAGGAAAAAATCTCGGTGGAATGAATTTTTTTTGGGTCGAACTGGTGGGCCAATAAACAAGTCACTTATAATTATTACACCAAATAAAGAAGAAAAAAATATAATCAATATTATTAAACTTGCTCAAATAATTTAGGGCATGCCGAGCCTGCCTTTATTTCTTTCTAACGACGCCAATGCTAACAATAATATATTTAATATAAACCGTTAAAAGTGTAATCCTTCCCTACAAACCCAAATTTCTGATAAGGAGCAGCGACTCCATTTTCACTTAGATTTATATTTTCGAATATAAGCATTTCGCTATGGCAGCTGCTATAAGCAACGATGTCCGTTTTAATCATGGTTTCGGGACTATCATAAGAGGCAGAACCACAAGCGAGCTCATAATTTCCTGTATCCGGTAAAGTGAATGTAAGGAAAAATTTGTTTAGATGGTTATTCGTAGCAAGGCATGGACCATCGAATTTCGGGAATAATTGTATCGGTGTCTTGTAAAATGATAATACGTTTAGATTTTATTTATATAAATATGTACTATATTTATACTGGCCAATACAATATAAATTTAAACTCTGTCACTTTAAAACCTCAATTTCGTTGACCTTTTAAAAGATAAATATTACATAAGCCTTAATATTTTGCCAAAATATCAGGTTTGGCTCACTTTTCACAAAATCTGGTAGCTCAAATAACATTTGTTTAGCTAAAATCTTAATCTAGATTTTTTAAATCGACTAAATCAAAATTTTTAACAAAACTCCTTTTTGACTATAATTTTATTTAATAGTATATCGTCAGCTGGGTAATAAAATTTGGTACTATTTATTCTAAATATGATTGTTTATAGTTACTACATTTAATTTTAATTTTTTTGATGAAATAAAAAGATGATAGTAAAAAAAAAGTCAGTTATTTCTCATCTTTTTAATGTTATTCTGAGTTGTTTGCATATATTTTTTAAAATCTTTTTGATACAATGTGACAATATATAACTTATTAGTTGTTATAGTTATCCGAATGTCAAACTTTTACTGACTCCTTATATGAATTTATTCGTTTATTAAATGAATAATATATAGATATTTTATCTATAATAAATACAAAGAGACTTACATATAATAGAAATCATTATAAAATTTATTAAAAATTATATCATAAAAATAATGATTTGTTTTTATATATTTCCGCAGGGATATAATTGGTGTTAGAATATATGATTCAGTCCTTTTTTTATAGACGTACAGATATAAGTACTAGAAGTCGGCGGGGCCCACCTTGGGGACCGAGACCTAATAAAATTATTATACGGGATGAGCTAAAAAATCTTTACAAAAATTTCCATGCGCCAGTTCGGTCTGGGTCGACTTCTAATAAGTACCATCTATAATTTTGATTTTACTTTACCCATTAAAACTCACTTTTTTTCAAAACCACCACTGAGATAATGATATATTACTAAAAAGGTAGAATTCTAAAAATATTCAATTACTCTTAAATATTTATTTTATCTTACAACGTAAAATCATATATAATATTATATGTCTATTTAAAATTAAATAAAGTTATTATTTTAAATTCAAATAAAAAATATTGAAAAAAAATATGGACGGCTTTTTTTAATAGAGTTGTAAAATGTTTTTTCGTATATTATGTTTCAAATCAAATATAATTATATAAACTTTTTTTGATTCACCATTTCCCAAATTGTTTAAGGATTTGAGAGAAATTTGTAAATCAGACGGTATCGAAGCAGAGGAAACAATCTCAAATGTACATAAAGTAGATATCTTTGGTTGTATGTCATTAATAAAAAAAAATTTAATTTCATCAATTAAAAAAAATATATATAAATGTCCTTTTCACCATACATAAAAAATATATCAAAAAAGCTACTAATAATTGGATTTAAAAGTTTTGAAAAACATATATTAGTTCTGAGACAGGCAATAAAGAAAACTAAGTCAAAAACAGCTGCTAATTTAATTTAGATTGTTATATATTCTATATAAATCTATCATAACAGTTTATAAAGATTATATACATAAAATCGCGTGAGGGGGGTAGGGGGGATTTAATATTAGCCTGCTAAAAAATATTATCCACTTTAGCAAGCAAATGTTTTTTTAAGCATGCAAAGATCGAAAAATATTAACTTTTTTAGCAAGCTTGAATGATGAGCTAGCGACGTCACTGCCATATTAACAAATAAAATTTGATTTTCCTGGTTATATAATATATAATCTGCCAAAGGGGTTAAAATAAATATATAATATAAAACATCAGTGAATTACAGGCAATGTCTCCTTGTGAATCAATACAACGTTGTCTTGACGCGTGCTTCTGTTGGACGAAGGCATTATTAAACTTGCTATCAAACGTTTTCTGTTTACGATATCATTGCTATTAAAAGCGGTCACTTCGTAATCGGCCGCCGTATCCTGATAACGATACAGTTTTAAAATGAACGGATTTTCCCGCTTTATGGCAACGGTTTCGTTAATTTTTGGCGTACCCTTAGCGGCCTCAAAAGTAGAATTGTGGAGTTTATCAAATTTTATATTATCAATTTTTCCATTTTGATTTGTTGATAAATCATCTTTGTCTAAAAATTTGCTTCCGAGGTTTTGTGCCAAAGTAAAATCAAGATCATCTTTAACTAGGATCGTTTGGTCAACCACATTATTATTATCCAACGATTTTTTCTTATCATTATGAGGAGTACGTTCTTTGTTAACTAATATATTCTTAGCTGGGTCATTCGAACTCGATTTGGCGATCTTAACCTCTTTAAGGATTTTCTCTACATCAACCTTTTTATGAGGTGATTTGTGTCTCATGGTTTGATCAATACCATCGATTTTATTTTCATATGCATCATGTTTTCTAGAATATTCATTAATTGATCTAATGTTAATATCGGTTTCGAAATCACACATATTGTCCTTAATTCCATCATCCTTCCCAAGTTCCATCGATGGTTGTTTATCTTTACACGTCTCTTCGTCGATTGCATGACAATCATTCAAGTTAGAATGACATATTTCTCCGTTAATATTCTCCTCATCAAAATTTAGGTATATGAACTGCAATTTAAAAGGGGAATTGCTGATAGCGCACCCATTAAATTTGACCTCCAAGGTATGGAAATCCTTGATGGGTACAAAAGTCAACAAACATACTTTCTTTAACGAATTTTCCGGATTTTCCCGGTTGCACTTGTTTGAAAGCAATTTAACGGTGTTAGGTATAGAACCGCCATCTATAGATAATTCCAATTGTCCCTCGCCGGCTTTGGGGTCTATACTTATTGGTACATTAAAGGAGTCACCATTTTTTGATATTAGGACTAAAAATTTTGGAAATATTAAGTATTATAATATAAATTGAGAAGAACCCTAGGCTTTAGTGAGTCCTTCATTTTATTTATCTCCCTTCCTTCTTTTTTTTCCTTCCTTTTTAATAAAAACGACATTATAGCAAAAAAATTATTTAAGATTAATCAATCTTTTTTTGTTTGAAACGATCACTCAACAATATTCCTCTCTTTTAGCTTTAAAAATACGCTCATTAATCCTAATTTAAACTTTTATCGTCAATGGGGTAATTATAGTCGTTATTGCCCAGGCATATCGCAGTCGGGTCGAAGGCCTTGAGGAATAATTTATTGACTCTGTCTTTATTTGGCGCGTTACCGTTTTCTTTCATGCATTCGTTAAATGGCAAAGGCAAATAGTTGGGCTGAATAATCTTTTCTTTGGCTTGTTCGCTCAAATCTCTTTCACTGTTAAAATCATTATCCAAGCGTAGCTCCAAACTTAAAGAGTGATTACCTACACTGGATAGCGTGTAATGAATAGAAAATATTCCCATTTCTAAGGGGCTTAAGCGAGTAATTATTGGTTTTGTAATCATTGGGCCTTTTAAATTGTACTCTGTCTCTTGATCCAATTTATCGTGAGAATTCAATGTGTTTAAAGGAAGAATCGGTAGAATATCTATCTGTAAAATTTAAGTTTGGGAAATATTTGATTTAAATTATATAACTGCTGCTATATTATAAATATATTATAAACAAAGTTGAGAATACAAAAATAATTTTTCAAAAAAAACTTTAAAATCTTTGGATTCGAGTGATGGAACGAACGTTTTAATAGTAAAGGACACGGGAGTTTGGATGCGAATCATATTTTTAAGTCCTTTTCCTTCATATTTTATCCTATTTACATTAACAACGGGACATTTGAATGGGTTACCTATGTCATTAAAAAAATATAAATTTTAGTATATCGATATACTAATTCAAAAATTGAGTTAATTTTTTTTAGTATAAAAAACGGTATAAAATCTATGTTAAGATAAAAGTTTGTAATGGGAGGAAAAGAGAAAAATTGAAACATATCTTGGTGGAGTTAAGCGTCATTAAAGGTGACTTTAAGCTAAGAATTTAAAAAAATGGTTTGAATAATAACATTATATGAAGACATAAATATTTTGAGTTGAAATTATTAATAACAAAAAGCTATCTAAAAAACCACTCTAGAATTTAAGATAAAATAAACGTAACCCTAAATAAATTCCCAATGTTTGTGTTATAAATTAAAATATTTATCACTAAGAAAATTATGATAAAATCCCACCTGCAATGACGTCCCCGTTAAATTTGATATCTATGCTCTGATACTTAACTTCACTATCATTCTCGGAATTTAAATCTTTTGTTGGCATATAAGGGTTAATGCGATTGATTTGAGAGGGAACAAAGTCTACCATAAATGTTTTATTTCCGATACTTCTAATGGTTGATTTAGTGGTTCCTTTGTTTATGAGTACCTCTAATTTACCAGGCCCCGAATCTTGGGCTATTACTGTATTACATATAAATTTTAGTAAAAAAAATTTTTTTTAATATTTTTGAAGTCCGCAACTAGCATAGTAAAGTACCGGGTGTAACCTGGTAAGCCGGGCTTAAATTTTATATGCTAGGCCAAAAAAAATAATTATTAATAGATATTTATATGAAAAGTGGCTTTATGTCTTAAATTAAATTTTTAAAAGTAGTTTAAATATAAAAATACTTTTTAAAAATTTAATAAATACGATATACAATTCATACATTTTCTCGGCCTAGATTTTTTAAAGGCAATCAGGTCATAATGTAAAAATATTTTAAGAAAATATCATTATATTGAATTTATTGGTTTAAATTTGGTATCCGAAATTCTGGAAAATTTTTTGCATTAGTTGCCAGGCTTAATTATTTTAGCTCAGCCAAGTTTAATAGCTGATCTGTGCTGATCTCTAATATTTAAAATACTGCATTATTGATTGATTATAGAAAGAAATCAATCAAAAAACCCTATATCATATCATATTAGAGATCTTCATATCCCGGCCCAAAGCCTACCCCAATGCGTCCATTTGCTAGGCATTGAAAATAATGTGATAGAAACTATCTAGATTATATTTACGCCATCTATCGTATAAATAATATTGCTCATATCTTAGCAGATTTTTTTAAGATGTCAAAAAGGCTCATCTTTAATATTTTTTTTGTATTGGTATAGAATGGGAAAATTAATGCTTGGTTAAATTTTATTAAAATAGGGAAAGACCAGGTTTTCTCTATGAGGTTTTTAAATATTGGTCTGCGCAAAAAATGCCTAAAATTATTTAATTTTATTTCCTAAAAAAAATTAAGTCGACCCTTTATTTCAATATTAAATTTATTACTTTTTTTCTTTTTTTTTAAATTTTTAACACTCATTTCTTTTATTTTTTTAAAAATTATATATATTTAAAATAACATGTAAACTATTTGTAAAATAAAATTTATACAAAAACTATATTAAATAAAATAATAATAACATTTAATTAGGTATGATCGGGCCTATTTTCTAATAAAATTTTCATATGGTAAAAATATACCTATAAATTTGTAACTTTAAGTACTGGGATACAATAGCGAACTCACCAGTTGAACTGAGTTTAATATAATAATAATCCTTTTCATTTTTTTTAAATTGATATAATATTTAAATTTAGAATCATTCTATATTATAATTGAAATACCTCAAAATGATTTCATAAGTTTTATATTTCAGATCCTCAACACCTGTGGATCATTTGGACCCCAAGCCCTAAAATTATTCAAAACAATAGGGCAAAGGTTACGCTTAATCACAGATGACCTAAAAAAAGGCTTCTAATGTCGATTACCGCTAAAAGTTATTATAATGAATGCATTACCGCGGATATCATAGATCGCGAAAATATTATAGCGAGGATATGCAATTAGACGGGCAGATTTTTCAGTTGATATTCTCTGTCGAAGGTAGAAGCCTTCTTTTGGGTCATCTGTGATTAAGCGTAACCTTTGCCCTATTGTTTTGAATAATTTTAGGGCTTGGGGTCCCAAATGATCCACAGGTATCTAAGACTACCGGAACAAACAAAACATTATTAAGGTTGCTATATTTGTTTGTTTTTGTGTTTTCGGCTTATGTGATAGAGTTGGAAGAAAAAGATCTGGCAAAACGATCCACGCAAGTATAATCCCAGGCGAGAGGTAGACCTTGGTTCCAAGGGACTAGCGTCATACCATCTGGTCTGGTTTGGTTGTCGGGGCTGAGGCCGGATGGTTCCAGAGTGGAGGGAATATTTGAGGATTTCAAGTTCTGTTGATGATTGAATTGATAGCATGGTGTCTGGGTAATCTGCTTTTGAGAAACGACAGTGAAGGGGGGTGGTGTCCAAGACTATCAATGTGGGTTTCACATAGGGCGCATGATGTGGGTGTTACGATTTTACATCCTAAGCGAAGGCCTATGGCTATTCTGAGTTCTTCGTTGGTTGAAACAAGCCTAGATTAGAACTAGGTACAGTTTCTAACCATTCATATCCTAGATGGCATATGGGTGATGTTGGAATTATTGGACTGGCAGAGGGGTCATATTATTGTCATTATGTATAATTGGGTTAGGGTTTTAGTGGAGAAAGAGCGATGGAGATTTTCTTTGAACAGCTGAAGTGTAAGTAATCAACGCAATGCTGTATCAATGGAAAGTTCCAATCTCTTTGCTTTAGTGAATCTGGATATGAGCGATTTGGGGCATTTTTGCTCCAGAGCTCTAGTGCTGCCGTTAGATGTGGGTCGATATTCAAGTCTCCAAGTGTGTGTCGAAATTTAGCCACTGAGGATAGAAAAGCTGAAATGCTTAGGGATATGGGGGATTGTATGCCTATACCGCATAGCTTTGGTGGAAGAGCGGCTTGCATCCAAGAGGATGATGAAAATTTGATATTTAATATGGATTCGAGAGTATTATTTAAGTGGACTCCGAGGTCCAATAATACCTAAGGGGATGTGAAAATTGTAGATGAACGAAAGGTGTGTAAAATTTTTGGAATGAATAAAAAAAATTTCAGTAAATAGAAAGCCTGGTGAGCGGGTAAATATTTTAGAATATTTTTCATTCTATTAAATTTAGCAAGGAATTCATCTCTAAAATGAAATATAGCTTTTTGCCCTTAATAGGTGAACCTAAATGGGTAAAGTTGGCTTTGTCCATTAAAATAAAATTTTCGGGTGGGCAGTCCGATTCAGAAGGAGAATAAAATTCACACTTATGAGGGTTTAGTGAAAGTCCTGTAATAGGAGCTAAGTGATTTATAATTAATGGAATTTTTATGATATCGTTATAAGGGCCTGCTAGTGTGCCATCGTCTAGGTACCATACATTTAATTTAAGTTCACAATTGGAAGAGATCTCTTTTATAATTAATTGGATGTCTTGGCAGTAGGCCAATTCAAAAATATTTATCGAATAATTACGAATACGAAAAATAAATTATTTGTTTTATCTGAATACGAATAATCATTTATTCGATTCGAATAAAACGAATTTTTCGTAATATTTAATAAATTGTTTAATAAATCTAACATTTGTCATAAAAAAGAATGGGAGGATCTTATAAAAATTAAAGCTATACTATTGCCTTTATATGAAACTACAAATATGGTATGTGGGGAGAATTATCCTACTTATAATTTGGTTATACCTTATTATATTTTAATTCTTGAACATCTAAAAAATGAAAAACCTGGTTTCCATAAATCCTTTAACAATAGTTTCAAAGTAGCAGTGAAAATTTGTTGGGCTATTATAATTTAATTGCCGATGATGCAATAAAAACCACAATATTAGATCCCAGGCTTAAAGTAGAATATTTTAAATCAATATCTCTTAATTATGATATTGATATATCCAAGTTAATGGACAAATTTAAAGAGATTTACAATAGATATACAGGTATTTAATTTACTTCCATTTAAATATGATTTTATTTTATAAGCTCATAATTATAACTGTCAAACAAATAAGGATAAAATTCAACAAAACAGGCTATACATTGTTTTTAAACAAAATAATATTCAACTGTGTGAAATAGATTTTTATCTGAGTGAAATAAGAGCAAAGAGTGATACTGACCCGTTAATGTGGTGGAAGGCAAATGCATATCGGATCCCCATACTCTCGAAAATGGCAAGGGATTATCTATCTATACAAGGAACATCAACTGCTTGTGAAAGGCTTTTCTCAGTTGGAATTGTCAAAAAACCGCATGTCATATAAGGAAGAAAATATAAGAAAAACTCTTTGCCTTAAAAATTGGCTTAAATTATAAATTAAATTAATAATATATATTTTAATTTTGTTTATAACTTGATTATATATTATTTATTATCAGATTATTGATTACATATTATTATAATTTTTTCTGTTTAAAATCAAATTTGTAATAAAAAAATTTGTCAATATATTTAAGTATGATTTATTTTATTAAAAAAATTAATTCGAAATATTCGAATAATTCGAATCGAATATAAATAGTAGATTTTATTATTCGTACGAATTTAAATTATTCTATGAATAATGCACTATTCGATTCTAATTCGTTTTTGAATAGGCCTACTTGGCAGAATAATGCCGGACCTAAAGGGTCTCCTTGTTGGATGCCCTGTTTAGAGAGAATAATAGAATCATTAAATTTTAAGGTGGGTTGATTGTAACATGCAGCGATGTATGTTGTATAATCTGGGAAAGTTTCACAAAAGGAAGGTATAAAATGTTCCCTCCTTAGTGAGTTGAAGGCATTGTGTAGGTCGATTTTGAGAATGCATTGATCATGTGTGTTATGGAGGATGACACGTGTCGAGTGGGATGCAGCCTCACATCCTCCAGGAACATTAAAACCAAACTGGTTTGGTTGTAGTAGAATGGATAGGTTAGATTTTATACGGGAGCAAATTATTTTGGAAATGATTCGCCGGAAGAGTGACCCTATTGCAATAGGCCTGATGTCCCCATTGGTTTTATTTAAGGATATTAAGCGGGCTCCAAAAATGATTGGCTGAATGAGATTAGGTATATTATTATGAAAGATATGATTAAGCAATATGGTGAATTGTGTAAGTATGTTTTGATATAGGGGTATAGTTGGTTTAATTATATCTTGGAGATAAATGGCTCAAAAGCCATCGATGCCTCCTGAGGAAACTTTTTTGAATGTCTTTATTGCTTCCAATATTTCCATCTCGGTTAGTGGAATGGGATTATTAGATAGTGGAAGGATGATATGTGAAAAATCTTGAGGATGTTTAGATTGCATGGCCATGAGAGTTATATCATTATTGGGGGCCATAGTATCACTTGAACAGGCTATGTTGATAGCTGAATTTACATTGCATAGGTTTATTTTATTTTCAATAAGTTTGGCCTTTTTTTTATTTGTCAAAAGCCTATTGGAATATCAAAATAACTATTATCATTTGAATTTAATGTTTTTTGATGCTTTGTTTTAAGTTTGATTTTGATGTTGGAAGATGTAGATTTAAATATATAAATGATAATAATTTAATCCAATTATCTAAGCTTTTAATATTTTAATTTAGGGTGGTTAAAATAGCTAAAAAAAATTGTGAAAATATAATTCTGGCACCTTTTGGTATACGAGCTATTGTGGGGGGGGGGGACTTTCTTTCATAAATTTTTCTAGCCATTCTTGTGCCTCAGCAATAAAGGTTGAATTAATGTTATTATCTGGGCATGAATATATAAAGGGATTGTTTCTGTGTTGAAGGTATTGTTGGAGCTTGTAGGTATTGGTTCCAAATTAATACCATTAATAAGAGCAGGATAATAAGGAGGCATAACAGGTTCATTGTTGTTAAAGAAAGTACCTGATGAAGGGCATCTGTTGGCTCGTTTACCATGACAAATAATTTTATTTCCTTTTGTTAAGGAAACATTCTTAAAGCATGAGGGGCATATCACCATGGTTCATATTATTGTTATGTATGATTATGTTTAAAGGTTACTTTATATTGAAAGATTCTTGATATACAAAACAAAACTTATCTAAAATTCAATCAGGGACAGCTGGTGGATTGATGAAAAATGCTTATAAGCATGTAGTTTTTAATCAATCATTAATTAAATGGAAAACGAAATTCATATAATAAATCCGTTTTTATGTTTCTACCCCTGATATCTTCAAAAGTAAAATAGCTAGAGGGGTCATCCAAAAATCATGACTTTTTGATCGCGTTCTAATAAATTCCTGGAAAAACCCCGGAAAATAAACTTCCGAAAAAATAATTCCCAAAAATATGACCCATATTAATATAAATAATAAAAATTAACTTTTAAAAGTAGTTAATTTTCCAAGAACACAGAATCTGGAAGGTTGATATATAACTTTTGATGCATCGTAAGTTTTGAATGGCAAGCAAGCCTTCGAGAGCATATCATTTTCGTTGGGTAACAATCCATTATTATTACTGTCTTTGAAACATATATCTTTACCAGTATACCTCATGTGTATTAGGTGTTCGCCTTTATTGAAAGTATTTTATTGAGTTAAATATCAAATCAATATTGTAAAATAGCTAGGATTATGCTAAGGGAGGAGCACAATTAGGTTGTTTATAATTTTATTTGGTTATGCTAAATTTCCTAAAGAATAGTTTCGGGCTTATACTTTGTTTATTATAAAAATCTATTACTCAAAATTCTGAATTATAGTTATTATTTATAAAAATTATTAACTTTTACTTATTTTTCTTTCAAATTATTGTTTATAGTGATATATTTATATATTTTGGGTAAGGAAGGGGGGGGGGGGTGTGTGTAAAAGGAAAATCTTTATTAACTTACAATATTTACGGGAACAATTTCCGAAGGAGAATAAAATTTCCTCTTGCCAACCCTCCCCCCAATCCACGCCTTTGATATACCATATGGTCTACAAAATATGTGTTAACATTAATCATTTATACAAATTAAATAAATCTGACCTATTTCTAACGTCTTAAAAGTTATCGTATATTCCTGTGAGTATACGCAAAAGTTTAAATTCTTATCGATATCGCGAGGATATGTATATTTATTCCTGAAATCATGCATATTTATGGAGTTGGTTTCGATTTTGTTAACATCGCAGGGAATAGAATAACCTTTTGATAACGTGGGCGCTAAGATATATTTATTTAAAAATGCATTAATATATTTGGGTATAATGATATCAAGTGCCAAAAATAAAATTTATTGTTTTATTTTAAATGAATAGGCTAAGACATATATTATTTTTAAGATATCTAGGCGATTGATTTGCTTTTATTATCTTGATTTTCTTTCTTTCTAAACGTTTTTTATAAAAATGTAAATTAAACAATTGGTTGTTTTTAATTATATTGTCTTTCCCCCATTCTCTCTTAATCTTAACGCTTCTTGATTATTATCGTCACATCATCAGTTTTATAACGTTTTTCATCTTTACAAAGGGTTAGTCTATGTTTTGGCAGCACGAGCTCTCCAAAGTTTTCTATCAAATACCTCTGACATTCAGCCACTAAATCTAGTAAGTTGTAAATATTTTTCATAACCTTTGTCCAGGCCTCTTTAAGCCTTTACCTACCTATTTCCAACAATGTAATTTTATTAACAACGGATTTTTTATGATGGACATATCCTGCCTACCTCAGTAGATGTATGCGCAAAAATCAAAAATAAGCAAAATACTCATATTTCCCCTAAACTCTAACACACCTTTTTTAGCCTTTTAACTTGTCTGCTATCCATCTTATCATTATATTTTCAGTTCAGTCTATTTTAATGTTAGCCTCTTTTATGAGGTATGTTCCACCATATGTTCTAGGCGATCATCTTAATTGTAAATACGTCCTTTATTTTTAGCAGGCACATGTTTGTTGGTTGATGGGAGGCAACTCAGGAAATTTAACTTAAAAAATGTCTGGGAAAATTCTATTCAGTTTCGTGTATGTGAAAGCTGGATTCATGTTAACATGTATAGATTTTACCTGCCAGAGACATGTTAACTTAATAACATTGCACTAGTAAACAATATTTTTAACTGACCACCAAATCCAGTATGTGAATCAGTTTAGTTAAGATGGTATGCTTAATACTTTATTTAGACAATGCTAATCTCTCTGTCACCGTAAGAATTTTATGTGGTTGGCAAAAATTCCATGAGATGGCTCCCATCATAACCTAATGTGTCTTTTAAAATCAAAGAATATTAGTCCAGCTATAATATATTATACGGAGATATGGTCCATAAAAGTAGCTACCATATAAATCATAGATATGACAAAGGGATTGAAAGACTAAAAAATTATAAGTTAGGTATCGTGCCGATTTTTGGTCTTAAGTGGGGAGGCCAGGTTGAATGACATGCACGGATTAGTTAAGAAAATAACAATGTTGGAAAGAGGGGACAAGAGGTAAACAAATTTGATAAAGGTGTATGGTATTGATTCATGAATTTAATTTTCCTTCATTTAAATGATACATTTTAATTTTATAAAATTAAAAGTAATGAATTTGTTGATTCATACTTTCGATACTGATTTGTAGCAATTTGTCGTCTAGCGGTTCGTGATATGATATCAAGGCAAACTTATATTTAACAGTTTTATTGACGGGAATCAAATGTGGTACTTGGTCTAAAACACAAAATAAAACCTCCTCATTCCGATTCGTAGCATACTTAGTTTTATAATTCTTCTCGTTTTCAAGAGCGTGAACACTTTTAATGGCATCAAACCCATTATTCATATGTTTTTCCTCTACTAAATTTCCATTCATATCATACCCAATCATTGTCGTATCTTCGATAGGATTATGATGATGCCTTTTATTCTCATTTGTTGGCTCGGAAATTTTATCCATTATTTTGCTTGTATCCAATTTTTTAATCTTTTCCATATTATTATCAGCTTTTAAAGCATTTTTTGTAGGAAGATTGGCAAGGATGGGACTGGTAACAAAATTGTTTTTAAGGCCCTGAAAATCAATGCTCCATTCCTTTTCTTTAAGGTCATTTTCTTTATTCATGCTGAAAATATTTTTATCAATATCTCGATTAATTACCATCATCTCTTGATCATTTTGAAAGAATTTTAGACATTTGGGTACTGGTTTGAGTTTGGGCTTGGCCAATATTTGAGCCTTTAATGGGCACGGTTGAGAAACGAAAGGTTGAGATGGTGGGATTTTTTTGAGATCTTTTTTGATGATCTTAAATCTTTGCACTAGGTAATAAAAAAATAAGGAGTAATATATTTATATTTTTTGTTCGTATTAATTTATATCAGAGACCTGCAGCCGTATTTTAATTTTTTAAATATACCCTGGCCGGGCCGTTTATTTTAAAACCAAATATTTGAAATCGCCATTATTAGCTATAAAAATCAAAAATATATTTTTAAAAAATCTGGGCCGGGCCTGAAAATTTTTTTTAAAAAAAAAACCCGGACCGGGCCGAACGTAATTTTTGAAAAAGAAATCCGGGCCGGGCCGGGCCGTACAAATGGTGCCTATGCAGGTTTCTGGTGTATATTAAAACTAATAAATTGTCAATGAGAATTAAATGAATACTTTTTGATACTTTTACATATTATGAATTGAATTTAGATTTACAATAAATTAATATATTGTACTCAATTCATCGTTGAGAAATCTTTTTTTCAGAATATTAGAGTCCAATTTTAAAAACTGGGATACGTACATCATCATATAAAAAGAATTCAGTTTGCCCATCTTCAGTTCGCGACCATTAATGATAGGCTTAATTCCAATTTCTTTGGCTTTTATTATACCTTTGAGTTAAATTAATTAAATTTTTTTATTAATTATAATTGTTCTGAGACTATAATAATCATCTCATTCAGGAGCGTCACTAGCTTTTACAATCTCAGGGAACTCAAAATTTTTTTTAAAATTATTTCCAAAATTACCTTGCCAACATTATCCAAAATAACCTTTTTTTTAGCTAACTTACCCTCCTAATAGTATAAAAAATGGGGCTCTTCTAATTTTTCAGGGGGCTCGAGAACCTGCGCCCCCCACCCACACTAGTGACGCTACTGATCTTATTCATATAAACAATTTCTCCAATTCCATAAGCGTTTATCTTATACGGCTATTATTTATTTCGTATTTTATTCAAAAATATCGGTATTTTTATAAATATTTTTCGGCATACAACAAAATTGTCAGTATTTAATTAATTTTACCTCTTTAAATAATATATCCGTATCTGAGGGCTAGGTCAGTGTTATAATAATTTGCCAATTAATATATAACTTTTCTTCAGTATTTTAATTCATTTGTCAATACATATATTTTTTTTATCCTTTATCTTTATTATATTACCAGTGAAATGAGTGTATTATTTAAATTAAGTAATCAGTAAAAAAAATAAATTCATTATTTAAATTTTAAGATTTTTGATATGAAATTAAATGAATAATTACTATAAAATTTCTAATTTTTCAAAATTGACACAAAATTTATTAGAGTGTAGATATTATTTGATTTACAATATTAAATAACAAAAACGCTACTTTACGGATTAAATATTATAAATACATTTTCTTTTAATTTTAATTATTTTTACGTGATAAGCTATATTAAGCGCCCAACCCTATATTTTATATACAATCAAACTGGGAAAATAAATTAAGGGAAGCAATTATAATTAACAATAATTACATTTTAAAAAAATTTAAGCCATCTATTATTAGATTTTAAAAAAATATTACTAATTTATTTTTTTTATTAATTTAATTTTAACAACTTGTTTTTATTATAAGAAAATAAAGCAAAACTTATTTATAGTGCATAAATAAATTTTACCTGCAAAATTAGCAGTCTACCTAGGCATTTGCGGTTTTAATCAAATCACCAACCCTATCCACCCTGACCTCGTCCAAGAGGTTGATTTCAGAAATTATTTTGTCCCGTTAGGACAGGATCCAGAATCCATAATCCTCTGAGCATCAATTGGCATGAGAAATTTGCAAAAAAAGCATGCATTGTTCTTAAACGTTCAATGGCCTCTATCACTAGCCATATTCGATATTATAAAAAAACACGATTTTTTCGTTACTAGGCAAATTTTTTACTGATTAAATTTCTTTTTTTACTGATCAAAAAATATTGACCAATTTTGTATTTAATACCGATATTTTATTATTAATAATGGGCAAATATTTACTTTATAATGGTAAAATTGAAATAAAATACGAAGTTTGTTAAAAATACTAAAGGTTTGTTTTCCTAAAATTGTTAGAAGTGGAGTTACAATAATAATGATAAATTTTAAGACTGCTGACAACTTTCAAACATGATAATAGAGCAATATGAATTATTATTTTTTACATTCGTCCAATTTGGAAAAGACTTGATTCTTAAACAAACGGTTATTTTCGGCAAAAGTTTTATCGATATCCTTGTTGATATCCAGCAAATAATGATTCGAAAATGAATTTATCAGTTCTTCAAGCAATATGCCGTCGCTCCAGTCACTCTGAATAATTGTATAATAAAATATATATTATTAATATTTTAACTTAGAATGTCATGTCATTACCAAGATCGGCATAGCTTTTTTTTAGCTAATATAGTGGGACATCATTTTGCCGCTCAAATATTAATTTTTGGAAAAACACAAAATTTTAAACTTTTATTTTTCACTAAATTTTATATAAAAATTATGGTTACATTTGAATTGAAACATATAGTATAAGTATAAAATAAAATTGGGGAATATTTAATTGTAAATTATATCTTTTAGATCTAAGCTTTTGGGAGCAATTGAATATTTCAAAACTTCTCTTGGGCCATCATTTTTATTTATATAAGAGCCTATTTTTAGTTCATCAAATAATAACACTGAATCAAGATCATTATCTTTTCCATGTATAAATCTATCCTCAATGGCTTTGAAATTCTCAAAAAGAACATTATCTGGTGTATTATATGTAATATACATGCAATTTATATAGAATGACAACACATTCACTAAGATAGGCTTAAGTTATGGGTTGGGTTTAATTTTGAAACTTAAATTTATTTTATATAATCCATATTCAAATTTCTTACTAAATTAAACTTGATTTGCCCGAATGATAGATATTATTTATAAAAACATTTCCATATAAATTTAAAATACAAACAATTCCACTATGGCATACAAAGAAAAATGTATATAATTTTCAAATTAAACCACTATTTTTTTTAATATTATAAATTTTTGTACCAAACGTTTAATGTTCTCTTTAATAATAAGGCGTAAGTTTATTTTCCCAATATTTCACAAATAAAAATGAATAGAAAATATATACTCTACTGCATAATACAGCAATAGAATAGCATTCATTAAAAAAAACAAGATAAAAATTTATTTTAAATTATTTTGGGCATACTGCAAAATTGGTTATAGGTTTATCCGGGTCCAGCTTTTCATTGACCCATTTTAACAAATTGGAATACGCTGGTCCTGACTGATATCGAATCTGGTTGGCCCCATTTCGACCATTTTCTGTGTTGTCCGGGTGAAGCGATTTGGTAAAATAAGCCAAGTAAGTTATCATAGCCCTGTAATCCATGCCTTCGGTACTACTCATTTTAACGTCCCCTATAATATTAGGAATGTTAAAGAGAGTCTCGGCTTTTTTAGCGCTTTGATTGAGTAGAGTTAGATCGTCATTTCTGTATAATGTATCATAGATAATTGCAAGTAATTATAACAATTTCTCAAAATCATAGTCAATTTATATTCTAACTAATATAATTAACTTACCACATACGTGCAATCAGGAGTTTTCCAAAGGGGGAAGGGATATTTGGTGGCCTTTATCGTAATAACTTTCATTAGATGGGTTTTGGCCAGGGATCCAAACCGAACCTGAATATTAAACCGCTAAAAACCGGTATTTTTATAACCTAAACCTCTAAAAAAAATTTCTAGCCGAACCTGAACCGAACAGCTAAAATGCCTCTGAACCGGTTCGAGTCTCATAATTTTATGATTATAAAATAATGTGTAATTACTAGTAGTATATTGCAAAAATTTTAATTATATTCAAATTGTTTTAAAAATTATTATCAATCACATTTGATTGATAAACGTCAATCATAATTTTTATAAACTTTAGTATATTGCCATTTTACAACATTTTTTAATATTTTAAGCTTATAAATTATAATGCCTAGAAAAAAATTAAATCTAATATATAAATTATTTACATATAGTATTATAAATAACACATCAAATCTGATATCATACTGGCAATGCCAGCTACCTAAGTTAGTGTGGAAAAATGTTTTTCAACAATTAAATTTATATTATCTCCTTATAGATGTAATTTGAGTGAGACGAATTTTGAAAATATATTAATTGTGCGGCTTAATAAAGAAAATTTTAAGTAATTGTTCATATTAAAATTAATCATTGATATATTTATTTGTTATATTTATAAATTAAATATTATTTTATAATGTGTAAATAATAAAAATGAAGGTTTTTATTATAATTATGAAATAAAAAAAATTTTTCCTTATACATAATCCTATAAGGTTTGAATACAAAAGTGTTCAAACCGGTGTTTATAGGTTCGAACCGAACCGATATTTTTATTTTTGCGAACCGAACCTGAATCTTGAACCGTTATTTTTATCCGAACCTGAACCGAGCCGATATTCGTTTCGGTTTGGATCCCTGGTTATGGCCTGCATTTTTGCAGGGCTTTAACAGAATAATTTTTTTAAATTTAGCTTATTCTTTTCTTTTTTTAAATTTTGTAATGATATATTGTATTTATTTTATTTAAGAAGGGATAGAGAAGGGTGGAAGGCAATGGGTATATAGGGGATAATTTATACAGGTTAAAATGATAAACTTGCAAATTCACGTTGACTATGCCTATGAATTACCATTATAATTTATATGTTTACTGATAACTTATTTTATTTTTCCTAAAATACGTAAGATAAAAAAAATACATGTTCTTGTTCCGCCATAATTTTATTCAAATTTGACATTATATATTAATAAACAATATAATTGGTGTAAAGATGTACATAACGTTCAGCTATATTGATCATATTAAATATATAATATTAGATAACATCATAAAAAAAATCACAGTTTTTGAGTGGCGTATGTGACTCAAACGCTAAATACCTAATTGAGGAAGCCCTATAAGTTTCAATCATTCCAGGTGGTTTAGATTTTTCCTTAAGTTTATCAAGGTATTTCTGTGCTATGGGATGTGTATATAGTTAATTATAAGCCAGAGTATGATTCACTAAGTATCGTCATTGTAACGCACTGCCTTTTCGGGCTGCAAGAACAGAGCTATACAGAATTCTTCTCATGTCCCTCAAACTGGCGGTTTTCAAGGGGGTTATATGATGCAAAAATCATCCACCAATTTTTGGGCCAGGCTGCAGTAATGTCCATTTATCCCCGGTCTCTTTTGATGCATAATTTAATTTTATGTTGTTAAAGTGGTTGGCTTAATTAAGGTATGTTAAGGTTAAGATTTGGGTGAATGGAATATGACAGACCAATGTTAATTTATAAGGGGTTTCATATTTTAGGAGTTAGTTTTATATAGGTTACTTAATGTTTGGACATAATATCAGGGTTTTCAATTAGCTTTAGTTTTTATGAGTTTTTTTATAGACCTTTTGTTGTTATTTAATTTGATGAATTATTTCTTGCTTAAGTTTAAACTTAGAACATCTTATGTGGTTTTATCTAGCCGAAGTGATTTATAACCATCGATTAAGTGGGTCGAAGCTATATTGTGGTGATGGTTACAGAAGCTAGATAGTTTTGTTAGGGTAATATGTGTTGAACATTGTTAATTCTTTTTATAACTTTTGTTCGATATTATCTTGAATCTATTAATGTTTGTACCTTTTTAGCTTGAGCTTTATTAGCATCCCAAGTATCGCTGCCATATAATAAGACCAGAATCTGAAGCAGAATATTCTGATGCGGGTTTTAATATCTTATTCGAACCAAAACTTTGTAATATTTTTTTATAGACTATTTTGACATTCTTTATTTTGGCTTTTATTTTTCCGTTAGTATTTCTATTATTATTTATGCTTGCTCTTAAGTAGTCGTTTTTATTACCTTTGTGTCTAATGTAAGGTTGTCTATGTGTACCCTCTGTGATGATATGGATAGTTTTGTTGGAGTTTAATACTTAATCCAGCCTTTGAGCTGTTGAGACTTGAGATCACTTCTGATTTTGCGATTAGAACTAGGTCATCAGCATAGAAGATGAATTCTGGTATTGGTTGCGCTGAAGGATGTTATTCTTGATTGTATCAGATATATATTTGTTCATGATCACATTGAAAAGAATAAGTGAACACAGCCTTATTTTACTCCTAAATTTACTGTAGAGAAGAGGGTAAAGGGAATTATTTGTTCAATTTCAAATTTAGTGAATGAATGATTGTAATAAAATTTCAATTATATTTTTCTCAATCACATTCAAAAAGAGTACCTCATATATTCAAAATATTTGAACTTTTCGAAGTTAATAAGACATAGAGTTATTTAGAATTTTTAGGGCAAATATGGGTTTCAAAATGTTTTTTATAGGGCGGTAAGTATAAATGGTTAACCCTACAGACTTTATGTAGTATAAAAATCTATTTTTTAAAAGATATAAAGATCTTTGATACAACGGGCATCAGAGTGGTGGCACTGTAATCATTGAAGTAGGAAGGATTAGCTCTTTTGAAAAATAATTATTAAAAATTTTGAAATAGACGCCTTTCTATGGCTAAACTCATACAAAGGTAAGAAATAAGATATAATATTAAAAATGGGTTTCATTGCAAATTGCGATATATTAACTAAAGTCGTATATACCCACATAATGGAGGATGTGTATACTAAAAAATATTTTTTTATAAAAAAAACCAAAACAGAAAATTATACTAATTAATCCCAAAATTAATAAAGAAAATAAGCGTAGTGGCATATCGGATTACGGACGCATTAATTAACGATATAAATATATATTAACAATTATTATAATTTATAAAATTTACCATTAACATGATAGATTTACATATACAAATATAATTTAAGAAAACTGATCTATTAGGATATTTAATCAATTCTATTTACAACAATCACCATAAGGCGCATTAAATGATTTATAATATATAAAATTGGTATATCATGTATTTTTTTTAAAAATAAATGTAATGTTAAAAACTAGGTTACCTTTCTATGTAATGTGTAAATAAATTAAAAATTTGAACAAAAATATATTTAAAAAAATGTTGTGTAATGTTGAAAGTAAATATTAAGAATTTAAAAATAAAAAAATTAGTACAAAGAGCGATTTACAAATCAAAATTTGAATAAAAAATAAATCTTATAATTGAATTTAGGCGACGTCCAAATTTAATTGCTAATAAATAAAATAATTAGCGAAACTAAATAATTAGCGAATTACCAAAACTATATTGAATGGTATAAGGAATGTAAGTTTATTTTGTAGAAATTAGAGTAAGAAAAAGATTCAATAGCGTAGTTATAAAAATTTTACTGTTAAAAAAATAACGGTAATCAAGTTAGGAAAGTTGTTAAGAGAACAAAAAACAATCAAATTTGAACAGCCTTAAATAGAAAATAAAATAGAAAATAATGCATTAATGGTTAAGGTTATTATATATTTTAAAAAAACTTAGCCTGATCCCTTAAAATAAAATACAGACTAGCCTACCCCGTTAGCAAAATATAAATTATGATAATAGAAAAAATTAATTATATGCATACCCCTTTAATTTTTTCATTATTTTCCAGGAAGAATTTTTGCTTTGGCACCATTCGATCAGAGCACTAATTTATTTTTTAAATAAAATATTAAATATATACATTCGTAGGTAAATAAAGACAAAGCATTAAGGCCAATTTGAATTTAATATAAGTAGCAGTACTATTTGCACATCCCAGCCAGGATTTAAAAAAAAAAATTTCGGCCCGGTACTTTTAAAAAATTTCTTTAGGCCCGGTCCGGGTATATTTAAAAAAATTGAATAGGCCCTACCCGGGTAGTCTCTGATAAGAAGTAACTGTTTGGAAATATATTATAAAATCAAACGATAAAAATGTTTATAAAAGCTAAAATGTGTCATTGTCAATATATTGACTTGGAATAATAAAATAAATTATTCTAATTTCATTATTGGATGTCAGGCTAATTGTTTTACAACTAAATCCTCCAAATGAGTCGGCCTGTTTGATGAGATCCTTAATTAACATCACTAGATTGATCTAATGGATAAAATTTTGGAGTTATTACTTAATAAAATAACCTATGGTTGATTTTTTACCTTGTTAGAGGAGTATCTTTTATTTTTTTAAAACTCTTTAAGGGTTATTAAGATATAAAACTTCTTTTACATCACCCAAAAAAATTCAAAAAAAGATGTAAATTTCTCTCATTCTCAAATGGTTTGGGTCAAAGGGATATAATATTTTTAAAAAATAAATTTATAAAAACTTTAGTCGTGCCCCATCGACCCAATCGGAGTCGAAATTTTTGGTCTTGAAGTCGGGAAGGATAGAATTTATGCAAATCAAAAAGTTATGGATAATTTGATCATCAGTTGGGATATGGACGTAATTAGGGTGAGAATGTAGTATATGATACCTAACTATAAGGTTCCATAGTATATCTGGAACTATGTCGATATTTCCTGGGCTGAGGATGTCTTGACAAGCTAAAATTTGTTAAAATAAATTGAAAATTTGTAAAAATGTTTACAATTTAATAGAGTAAATTGTGACAAAAGCTGAAGACTACCACTTTTACTATGGGATTATTCTTAAAATAGCAGCTTAAATTTGGAAAAAACTAATATAAATTAAGACACCTTATGTTTAACCATTACCCAACTAATTCACCAATATGAAGAGGATAATTGAGATTCCAATTTATAAATATGAATTACTACTATGCGTACTGGAGGGTTGGGGTCAAATTTTTTATAAATTGAAAAAATATCTATTAATATTAGATTTCCGGGTTTTAAACGTATTTTTAGAGTGAATTAAGAATAATTAAAATATTTATAATCTAAAAGAAACTCAAAATATAATTTAATAACTATTTAAGGATGGATAATTTAATTTCATTTTAATTTCTTTATTCATTTTTTTTAAGATGTTTATTAAATGTCTAATTTTTGCAGTTAAAAAGCCTAGGATTAGATCTAACAGTTTGAATTAAGATCACAATTAGATAGAACAAATAAAATAAATATGCAAAAATCAGAGGGTTGAATAAGCCATTTTTAAAGGAAAAATATTTGTACTCTTTTAATAAACAGCTTTTAATAAATGTATAAGAATTGATTTTTAAGTTATTCTCATAGATTATATATTAATAGACAGCGACTTGTTCAAAGTAAAGTGAACAAAGAAAGAGAAAAGTTTATAAAGTTTAGATGCTGTCACCCATCCACTAACCTCAAATTCCATTCTTCACTGAAATTATTTTATGAAGTAAAATAATCAATATATTCCTTTAAAATAAGTATATTTTAATTAATTTGTATCATTTACATGATTTAAAAAAAAACATTATAGTAATATCTTATAATATATGAACTTATATAACTTTAAATATTAATAAACGCCCTAGCCTAGATGCTAAAATTATGTAAAAATATATTAAAGATAGCGTATAATGCTTATTTATTTATAAGCAAACAGTTTATTGTACGTCCTAAATGAGATCAAATCAAATTTCAATAACTAGAGAAGCATCATTGTGCCGAAGTAAGAAAGATACAATTAAAGATGTAAGATGCAATAAAACATTCTTCACAAGTCGTAAATTTTTTTTTAAAGTCATAAAATTTGTTGAATTGAATTGTGTTAACAAATCGTGTTGTATACCATGCATAACTTTTTAAATATAACACAAACAATGACTATGAATGAGGTGATAAAAAAACAATAATTGTCTTAATCAAATTGACCTCCTCTCTTTGGCATTCAATATTATGGTATATAAACATTTTTAAAAATGATCTTCAAAAATTTTTAAAAAACAGGCAATAAATAATTTTTTTTAATAAGAATATAACGATTTTTTATGTATAGGATCGGATCGATATGATTATCTGTATTTTTAATAATATCGCAGCTGATATCGTTAAATTGACCGATATGATCTGATATATCAAAAATGGTAGTTAATTATTAATAATCATGATAATATCTAGGGCTGACGATCCGATATTTGCATAAACCGATCAGATAACTGTTATCGATCCGATATTTAGATTGATTTTTATTTACCATCTAAATTTACAATAATGACCTAAAATATCAATATTTTTTAGTAAATAAACTACCTGTAAGCTATGAAATCAAACACTTTCAAATTTTCGGTTTCTCATGGCCAAGGCGATACTTGGTGCATAATCATAAATGATTAAGTGTTTTTTAATTCCCCAAAAGTTATTCATATCATCTTATCAATGTGGCTAATGTTTATAACTGATTGTCATTTATTAAATATTTTTAAATCATTTTCTTGTTGCAAAAACAAAGAAAAATATTTTAGCTAATTTGATTTTTTTAAATATTACAATCACAAATAAATTGAATTTTGGTTCATTTTTCTATATTAGAATTATGTATATAAAAAAATAATTATATAATAATCATAAAACAACCAAAAACAATTATAATAATACCGGATCGGTTTTTTGAAAATACCGGCGCGATCCGTATTTAATATCGGCACACCCCTAATAGTATTGAATGATGGAAATTTAAAAATAATTTCTAACTATTCTTTTTAAAACAGACTAGCCATTTTTCTTCGTAGGGGAGATCGGGGTTATATTGTCCATAAAAATTTGAACGGCTATGAAAAAGAGATAAAGCAAATTTTCCAAATGTTTAAATGTAGTTTAATTCTTTACATATCATATATCTCTACGGTAGAAATTACTATCTAAGAAAAATATTTTTTCGTTTTTTATTAATATGAAATTTTAAAAATGAAAATTTGAGAATTATGGTGTACCTATTACCCTTTCGCGTTGCATGTCATATCGCTTTTTTATTTATATATTTTTTAAAAAAATTTATATAAAAATGTTAATCCTAAGTAAATAAATGAAGTTATCAAATATGCAATATCACCAGGACGAAATTGTTGTCACTTTAAATTGTCATAATTTACAAAAAAAGTTAAACATCTTCATATTGTCATTCGTGCCCCAAAACAAACTCCTGGCTTCCATTGTTTTTATAAATTTAGTTAAATTTTTTTATTCAAAATAGCAAATAAATGGCTAATACGCACACACCCCATCAAAACCTGTCCCATGTCTTCAAATTTAATTAAAATTTAATTTCAAGATATTAAATTACAGTAAATGTTGTTAATATTTTTATACTTGATAAAATTGAGATTATTTTTTAGTAAAAATTAAAAAAGACGTGTTAAAATCTAAATTTGCATTTAAAACTTTTCATGAGCATATTTATGCGAAAATATTTTAGAACCATTAAAGCCTCTTATTAAAATATATTTATGGTTTAAATTTCGAATATCAAGGTTTATTATTCGTTATAAAATTAATTGAGAATAAAGTATCTGCGGGATAACAATATCTCCTGTTTCTCCTAATATTTATTTTGTTGGAATTATTCTATTCCCTATCCTATAGATACTCATCTCATAATGTTATAAAATCGACCGAAAAATTGGGATCAGCCTTTTAAAAACCGTATCGGTATGGTACACCTCTAAAAAAAATATGGTGAATCGTTTAAAATTTAAGGTAATCAGTTTTAAAATAATAATTATGAAGAAGAATTAATTGAATATTCAATTTACAATTATGCCATGACATTAATAATAAAAGGTAAGAATTAAAAAAAAAATTATACAAGTATATTTTTTAATATAATGAAGGGGAAAACGACCTCATAAATTTTATTTATAATATAATGACAAAAAGAAATAAACATCATATTAAAAATAATTATATGAAAAATTTGATGACACAAAAAAAATATATAAAATGAAATTGAAGTGTAGTATAATAGGTATTTTAAAAAAGTTTGAAAGTAATAATCCATAAATCCATTTCTTTATCTACTAGTTGTATATGTATTGTCTATGTAAATTTGTGACTTATTTGTTATTAAACCAGAATATTATAAGATGAATGTTGCGAATATATTTTCATTATCATTATAAAATAAACGTTGGAAGTTAATCATAAAATCTAATGAAGTTTTAGGGGATTCGGGAATTTGCTATAAAATCTGAAAAAGGTTTTTAATATATGCCAACCGAAAAAGAGAATTGACATAAATATGAGCTTAGAAACGTATAAAAAAATATTTTTAAGAAATTGATATCATTTATTCATAATATGCTTTTTAAATAACTTCTTGAACTTTTTATCAAAATAATACTCATATAGGTAGTTATCCATAAAGGCTAGTCTCAATTAATAGTCGCAATTGAGGCAACTTAGGTCATTATATGGCAGAGTTGTAAAAATATAAATTTTGTATCTCTGTCTTATTTAGATACATTTTTATTTTAATTTTTTTATTATATAGAGTAAATATAAATTTTAAATATAAATTTCCTTCTATTTTTTTACACTTTATTCTTTTTAACACAATATGCAATAATTAAGTAAATAGAAACAATCGAAAAATAATATGTTAATATGAAATTAACAAATATAAGTTGTACAAAATATATTAAATGAATTCTTATCCATTAACAGTGAATAGGAAACGTAGTAAGATCAAATTATGTTAATTGCTATTCTTTGTCTCAGGTAAAAGCCTTGATTTGAACTTTTGGTTTTAGCTGTAATGCGATGTCCTAGATACTTGAAGAAGGCTAGAGCGTAAGTGCCAACAGCTGTTAGCGTTGTAGCAATTATTGGTATTAATAAATGGTTGGAAGGTGCTGTGTCGATATTAAATATCGGATAAGAGCCAAAGAAAGAAATTTTCATTATTTATACTTTAAGAAAGAATCTTTCATTTTTTTAAGATGGCATCTGAGTTATGAATTTTTTTTACAAAAATAGAGAATTTTCAGGGGATATAGAATAGAGGTCTGCAAAGGGGGGTGGGGGAATTTAGCTAAAAATCCCGCCCACTCATTGTTTTGAAATTTTTTAACCCACCCCCTACTCATATTTTTCTTAAAAATTATAGCCGTCCGCCCATTTATCTATAAATTTTGTTTAACCCACCCGCCTAATGTTTAAAAATTATTTTAATGGCTAGTTTGGCCATTTATTTATTTAATTTATTATTTTATATTATGAAATAAAACTATTATTTTAAACAAATTGAAATCTGTTCTGCTCATTTAGCCTGAAAAATATTAAAAATTCACTGGCCCAAGGCCATCCATTATTTAAATTTTTTAACCCCGTCACCCACCCATTGTTGAAAATATTCATAAAACTCGCCCATTGCAGACCTCTAATATAGATAGCCCACATAGTAGAATTTTATTGCAAGAAAATCTAGGGGCTCTCATTAAATAATTTTGATATTCAAACAGGGCCGTAGCCTCGAGAAAGGGGGGGCAGGCCCCCTCAAAAAAATTTTTGGCCCCCAAACTTGACCCTCAGAAAAAAATATTGGCCCACATAAATTTTTGCGGCCCCCCAAATTTAAAAAAATTTTGTAATTGATTATTAAAAACATATCTAGT